CATAGCTCCAGAATCTTCCAAGTATACAGCATTTAACACCTGTTTTGGCACCTATAAATTCCTTCGCTTACCAATGGGACTCAGCACAGCGCCAAACTCATTTCAGCTCTTGATGGACAAAGTTTTACATGGACTTACCTTTCGTTCAGCATTATGTTATCTTGACGATGTGATTATATGTTCTGATACCTTTGAATCACATTTAAAGGACCTTACAGAGCTGTTTGACCGATTCCGACAGGCTGGCCTTAAACTTAATCCCAGCAAGTGCACATTTGCACAAAGGAAGTGTCTTTTCCTTGGACATGTGATCTCCAAAGATGGTCTGTCCCCTCCCCCAGATAGGGTAGATGCCATACAGAAATACCCAGCACCATCATCTGTGTCATCACTTCGACGTTTCTTGGGCATGGTGGGCTGGTTTCGGAAGTATATTCCAAATTTTTCCTCTATTGCTGATCCACTTTTCTTCCTTCTCAAGAAAGGTGTGCATTTCCGGTGGACCAAACAGCATGAGGTATCGTTTCAAGAACTAAAGAAGCAACTTTCGAACTCACCAATACTTGCATACCCTCGTTTTGATCTGCAGTTTCGCATTGCTGTGGATACATCAAGTCGGGGCATTGGGTTCATGCTGTACCAAAATCATCCAGGAGAGGATAACTTGGAAACTCCACATGTCGTACGTTATGGTTCCAAAGGACTGTCCAAATGGCAGCGTTCTTATGGACCAACAAAGTTGGAACTCTTGGGAATGACATACGCTGTTTTGGAATGTGCGTCATACATCAGAGGAACCCATTTCATAGTGGAATGTGACCATCAAGCTCTGAAACCCCTGTACCAGAAGAAACTCAAGGGTGCCATTTATGAGCGCTGGTTAGCCATTCTACAGGAGTTTAATTTTGATATTGTTTACAAGCCAGCGAAGGAAATGTGTGTACCTGATTCATTGTCTCGTGACTTACCAGATAACAGTGACACCAGTTTTGACAGTCCAGACCAGGAAGATCTCTTCTTTCCCTACATTAAAGAGGAAACTGGACAAATTCATTTTCCATGTGGGAAACCCCTGACTCCGCATCTGATCAACACTGGTCACAAGGAGCTTAATCATCTCAGACTGGACACGAAACCTCATCTGGACAATGGATATGATGCAGATACCGATGAGCCAACTGCAAATATATTTCCAAAACCACATAAGAAATCTCTGGATTTCCAACCATGGAGGAAATATCCCAATGGAAAGCCATTTCCTAAATCACCATTTGGAAAACCAGTCAAAGTTGCCCATGTAATGAGTGCATGTGATAGTGACACTGTTATTCACAATACCAACAAAAGTGATATTGACACTGTTGTAAGTGAAACTAATGGACACTCAAATGTTTGTGCACCTTTGATCTGCGACAACAAACTTGGTGATAGTGATACTTGTACTCTTGATCATCCTAAAAGTGCGAATGACCATCACAGTGACACTGTGCTTTATGATAAAACAAGTGAAAATGACACTTCTACTGACCATCATACTGACACTGTGCTTCATGATAATTTAAGTGCTACTGACACTCCTACTCATGTTCACAAAATTAGTGCTAGTGATGTTCATTCTGACACTGTGATTCAGGAATCAAGGAATACTGATTCTACAAGTGATAGTAACCATGGATACCAGGACCTTGTTAACTCTGATACTGTACTTGACGATAGTGTGACTGACAGATACAATGCTGATACCGTAATTGAGAATGAGACCTCGGACAGAATACCAGACAAACCTGTTCAGGATAGTGCACTCGAGCTACTTACCAAAACAGACCTTTCTCTGTCCAGCATTGCCATGTTACAGAAATCAGATCCTGATTTGAGACTTATTCTAGATTATTTGCAGCAAGACAAACTACCATTTTCACAGAAAGCTGCTCGAAAAATTCTTCTAGAAGCCCCGGATTATCTAGTGACCGATGGTGTTTTATTTCACTCGCGTATAGCCAAAGCAAAGCGTACCAAGGGCCTCAACAACTATCAACTTGTCGTTCCACAGGCTCTTATCAAAACAGTTCTAGAGTTGTACCACGAGTCACCTATGGGAGCTCATGGTGGCATTAATGACACCCTAGATCGCATAAAAGAACATTATTATTTTTCCAAGATGTCATCCATCATAAGTGATTTTGTGAAATCTTGCAATATTTGCCAAAGTCGGAAAATGACCCAAGCAAAGACAAAGGCAAATATAGTGTCCTTTCCTACTCCAGGTAAACCCTTTGATGTGTGGCAAATAGATCTACAAGGACCACTACCTGTGTCTTATAAGGGAAATACATACATATTTACTGCTACTTGTATGTTCAGCAAATTTTTGTTTGCTGTACCCATCCCAGCTAAGGACGCTATTACTGTGTCATCTGCCTTGTATCAGCTGTTTACTACATTTGGTGGATGCGACACCATACTCAGTGATCAAGGGACTGAATTTACCGCACAGGTAACAACAGAAGTTTGTAGAATGCTAGGCATATCCCAACAATTTACGCCTAGTTTTGCACACCACTGTCTCGGTGCATGTGAAAGAATGCACAGAACACTAGAGGAACGACTTACTCCATATATGGACAAACAGAGACGAAACTGGGACGAGAAGCTCTCATCCATTGTGTTTGCCATTAATCAGAGCATAAATTCTACTCTAGGATATTCCCCATTTGAGATAGTGCTTGGATACAGACCACGGTTTCCCCTGTCACCAGTGACCCTTAATTCTGACCTTCATACTTTACCGAAGGGGAGTCAGGAGTACATGGATGCTTTTCTTGACAAACTACATACAATCCGCACAGAAGTACGGAACAACATTGAGGCTAATAAGGATACTATGGTTACCAGAGCAAACCAAAACTCGCATCCTTTACACCTCGTGAAAGGGGATTATGTTTACCTGTCTATTCCTGCAGTAGGCCCTGCACAGAAGCTTCAAGCCAAGTTCTCTGGACCTCATATAGTGCATCAAGTTTTCTCGGACTCTCGTGTATTACTAGTAGATCAGAACACTGGGAAAGTTTTTAGTGAACCCATTCATGTGAACAGATTAAAGATGGCTTACGTTCGTGCACCATCACCACAACCCTATCTACTTGGCCCGGTTATAACTCGCACGACAGTCTCGCCTGCTTGTACTGATCAACAGACACAGACAGACACTCATACCAAACCGGATTCCAACCAAACACCAGATCTCCAGAATCCCATGGTACATACCCCCGGTGATGACCCTTTGACCCAGAATTCTCAGGGAGGAATCCTGGACATGAACTCTACACATAAAGATGGTTCAGGGAAGCGTGAACGTAAGGTACCTGTGTTACCCGAACAAGTGCGACCTCGCCGCATGTGTAAGAAGCCTCTTCGCTATAGAGACTCTGACCATCGAGATCCTCTTTCAGTTGAAGTTAGTTCAATGTCGGACACTGGAACACTTTACAAGGTTAAGCGAGTGCTAGGACAAAGAGGATCGGGTAATTCCAAGGAGTTCCTAGTGCATTTCTCTGGGGAACCAGCTCAGAATTCTATGTGGTTACCTTGGGATGCTTTGAACACTAAGACACAAGAATTAATCAAACAAAAACCTCCCCCAATGTTAAAGTAATTTTTGTATACTACAATTGAGTTGTGTTTCTTTCATATACTGGTATTTGAAATTGCTGTGGATGCATTACTGTACATGTACTACATTTGTCTTGAGAATGTAATGAATTGTAGTATGACATGGTAATTCACCTGAAATTGGTCAGTTGATGTCAACATATTAATTAATAACATGTGTTGCATATTATTTGATGATGATATTAATTTCTTTTTTATTGCAAATTTTTTTTACAGGAGATACCTATTTTCATGTATTTTTTTTTTACATTTTCAATAATATTTATATTTTTGCATACATTTACATGTGACCACTTTGTTTGAGGTCTGCTTTATTGTGGATTTATCACTGAAATGGCATAATATTACTTGTAAGTTGTATCATGATATACATTCTGTAAATGTATACTTTAGTCACTTGGGCTCAGTTATGTTGTATGAGTTTCACACCATATCGATGACTTTTGTTTGCATAGGTTGATGCTTGAAAGAGGTATTGTTCATGTCATTGAAGTCATATTAGTTTTGACTGAGTTATCACTTTACTAGAATAGTCTTGAATTCAGCTTGTAGGATCATGAATCTTGTGTACCTTTGGTGTGTGTGACTGTATCATTTATCATATTCTACAATACTTACATATGCTTTGTGATATATGGACATACATTATGGTCATTGTATATGTATGTTATACCCGGACTGCTTTGTCAATCTCATGGTTCTTATAAAATTGAACAATTTTATTTTTGTGGGGGGATGTTGTATTATTGACCATGGCATTGCATAGCAATCCGGATATTTGACCGTGCATATTTGAGTTGTATAATTTTGAGACTAGAGAGTTCCGATAATAAAATGAAGTAAAACGTGCTTGAAGTCGAAGTCATTTATTTGTCAAGAGTATTGTTTGAATTATTATATGTTGCCAAGCGAGTAAACATACATATAACATATGAATCGAAGAATGACCTAAATATTCTCTATTATCAAACATGTAAAAAAAAAAAAAAAAAAAGGCTGAGGAGGGAGCGAGCGTAGGAATATTGATATTTTTTATTTGCATTTCGGGGGGAAAGTGATTTTCTAATAATATTTTGACGTTATTTTTGATTTCTTTAACGTATGAAATACACAACTTTACTCTTATCATGAACAATAATGTTGTATCTACTTAATCATGATGGAACTATTTTGGTCGGACCAATTTGTGTGAGCTGCCGCTAAAAACAGTAATATATCTTGCATTAATAGTATGAATTGATCGAATATATTAAAAAGTCAGATAACATATTGTCTAGTCTTTAATCTGGAGCAAGCAACAGGAACAGAAACCAAAAAAGAAGGAAACTTACCAAAATTGTAGACCGTTTCAGATTATCTAAATATCGCATAACCCACAGTGAATAACTTGAAGAAATCCCATGAACCTCGTCCTATTAAGATTTATATATATAGCTAAGACGGAGGAAAACCCCAGCCAGATCGACCCACCTAGAAAGCTATGGAAGGGAATTACCGCCAAAAGTCTATGTATCTTGCTTTTATTCTTATTCTGCCTACTTCTTTATGCTTTGTTATTATTGTAATTATATGTCACTTTATTGTTTTCATATTCGTCTTTATTACATTTCACTTTGACTTTTATCCTTCTTCATTTCGTCCTTACTTCTATGTTTCTTTATTCTTGTTAAGTCATTTTATTTTATTTTAAATTGATACAGTATCTTAAATGATTATTTCTATTACGAACGTTAACTCAATCACGCAAACAATGAAGCATATTCAATGAAGACGAATACGAGTTGTCCTAATTTAGTGCCGCATTATAACGCTAGGTGGCAGGGGTGTTCGCTAAGAGTGTTGGTAAAATTAGGTAAGCAAACCGGGCCGGGGTTATTCGAGTTTTTTTCCAATTTTTTGCCTTAATACTTTATCGATCGAACTTAAATTTTCAAATGAATGATGTTTGTTATTAGTTCAGGTATGTACCCGATATATGTACATGCCATTCCCTCGAAAGTCCTAGATGGTAAGATTTCCCTTTGAAGTGAAACATAGTGATGCTTCCTTTGGAAGACTATACACTTGGACTTCCCCCGGGGTATAGCTAGTCTTCCGTGGGAAATCTTGCTATATATAGCAATCCCCCCTTCATAGCAACCCCTCCCCCGAATAGTTTTTTAATCGTAAAACGATGTTTATATATACGAACGTTTTCAGTTTTTGAAGAAAAGTTATCCGTCCTATACATATGATACATGTATGAATAAATATTTAAATGACATCATTCTAAAAGTGCTTTATAATTAAATCATTTTAACCAATAGTTAAATATAGATAATCTTCACGAGTCCATATGGATTATGACAACCCCCCCTCACCCCTGGGTTAAGTCGCCTGCGTGGCACTGTGGTTACGGCGTCTGCTCTAGAGTCACGAAGTACAGTAGTAAAGAGTCGATCAATACGTCGTGGGTAAGAATCCCACTGTAGGATGTGGATTTCAATCCATCGATCTAGACATTGTTATCCGAGGTCCCGTGTCGCAGTAGGTGCTGGCACAAGAAAAGATCCCTCATTGCTCAATGGCTATAAGTGCCAAGTATATAGGACAAATTTGCAGCTCTAGCTCCACCGGCAAAGTGGCTAACTTTTTTCAAGAACAACTATTTTTCAATTCCAATTTTTTTTTGGGGGAAATTTTTTTTATATCCACTGTGGTGAAATGTGGGGGGGGGGGGGGGTAATCTTCCTTTAAGTAAACATTTTCTATTGTAAAGGTAATGTCGGGGGAAAAGTGGGAGGGGAGCCCTCCCCCTGCCCCCCCCCCCTCTGATACTACGTCCCTGTCTTACCCTTTTTGTTGCAGAACTTATTGTCAATTTATATATTAAAAGTCATGTACTTATTGGTATGAGTAAAATTTAGCCTGTAAAAAAGTTGACGACCCCTTCCCCCCCTCACCACCACCAAACAGAATTTTCGAGTTCTAAGATTTTTTTTTTAGCTGTCCTGGCTGATCACAAATACGACGCGTACTATATGTAAAGATATTTCTTTCTTTATTGAAAATTAATTGCTATTTTAATAAGAAATATTAACGCTGAAAATAAGACCAGGGAGTTTTTAGTATGTCTGGATGCATGAAGCCTAGTTCTTACTTCGCCTACTATGCGCGGATCTAGAGGGGGGTGGGGTGTAAGGACCCCCTGGAATTTACAAGGTTTAAAAATGTATATACTAAAGCAAGGAAAAAAGTTAAACGCTCCCTTCGAAATTGGATTTTGACGTTTGGGCGAGTTTAGGTTTTTTTATGCTCGTCAAGTAATTTCTGGGATTGGAATTTTTGTTTTTGGGCTGGGGTGCCCCCCCCCCCCCCGCTGGAAAAAAAATTTGGATCCGAGCCTGCCTACCCATATTAACGCTCCTCACTCCTTTGCAAAGCCCTGCCCCTAGAATCACGCACATGAGCAGTTACTATCTGTCATGAAATAAACTTCAGTTCAGTGGAAGGTTCTGAAAAACAACCCAATTTATGAGGGTTAACTAGTATCAAAATATTGAACATTTTTATATCAATTAAACTAGAATTCAATTATCCAACAAATAACTTTAATAGAGTTATATTTTTCAGGCGAGAGAAAAGTAACGTAGCATTGTAAGTTTTTGAAAGTGGGGAGGGGGCAACAAGAGAATAAATATTAAAGTACCCGGCTGAAAACATCTTGACAAGCGCAAAAAAAACTTGAAAATACATACTAGGCGTCGGAACCGTGGAGGAGGGTGGACTTAGTCCCCACTTTTTTTCCAGAGATAGACTTAGTACAGACGTTCCTGCATAGGTTATAACCCCCCCCCCCCCCCACTTGCCATGGGCACGATGCAGTATAGGTTTAAAATGGGGAAAGTGGTGGTGTATGGGAAAAAAAACTTTGGCACTGGAGTTCCAACCACCCCCCCCCCCCCCTCACCCACCCCCACGAAATTGAATATTTTAGTTCGGAAAATGGACATTTCTTTTCTTTTCTTTCTTTCTTTCTTTTTTTTTTTTTTTTTGCTTGTCGTTTTTTTTTTTGATGGTCTTAAAAAATTCTTACACTTAGCCCCCCCCCCCCACTTTCAATTTGCTTCCGATGCCAATGAAATCCTATTTCGAAGGCGGGGTGAGTTTTGGCTTAGATTCAACTTCTTCTATAGAGTCAAATTTAAATTTTCTACCTACTATACGTACTACATTAACTTATTTGACCCTTACTCTTACAAAAAGTGGGTCGGCCTTTCAATAAACATATTCAGTATAGTATAAAGTTATGTCTGAAAAAAGAGGCCACTACAGTATATCCTGTGTGGCCAGAGAAAATAAATATGGAGTTTCCATTATTGGATCGGATTATTGGATCAGACCTTCAGAAATTCGATTGATAATTAAAGCCATATATGGCGTATGTACAATGAAAATTATTAGACTAAAATTATAAGAACTTATTATTTGTATCATTACTTTATATAAAGATAGAACTTTTCCGTAAATTACAAAATCTAAGTCAATTGCGTTATAAAGATATCACAATTTAATTTGGATTTTCGGAATTTTCTCCGACTCGGAAGAAAATACAAAAGATTTAAATAACACATTACAGAGAAGATAAAATCGTGTTATTAGGTGTTTTCCATGTTCAGAATTGTATGAAAAGCTTTAATTTAAATGTATTAAATATATTTCTTTACTTAATTTTGTATTTTTCAAAAATGTATATTTTTTTATCAGTTACGCCACATATGGCTTTAAAGTACTAAGGCGTATTAAAGAATCTCAAATAACCCGACCCGGGTTTGGTTACCTAGTTTTACCAACACTCGTAGCGAACACCACACCACCTAGCGTTATAATGCCGCACTAAATTTTGACGGTTTGACAACTTACATTCGTCTTCATTGAATATGCTTCATTGTTTGCGTGATTGAGTTAACGTTCGTAATAGAGATAATCATTTAAGATATTGTATCAATTTAAAAATAAAATAAAATGACTTAACAAGAATAAAGAAACATAGAAGTAAGGACGAAATGAAGAAGGATAAAAGTCAAAGTGAAATGTAATAAAGACGAATATGAAAACAATAAAGTGACATATAACTACATTAATAACAAAGCATAAAGAAGTAGGCAGAATAAGAATAAAAGCAAGATACATAGACTTTTGGCGGTAATTCCCTTCCATAAAAGCTGCAATAAATAACTGTCCGCGCTTCGTGGTACGTGTAGTTGCGATATGACTGATGTGAAGGTCGCACTTTTATAGGTTAAGTACGAAAAAGTCATTTGGCAAAATCTGGGGAATATACATGTGACTTATGAATTTTGAATAGCACGGATGTGGTATGTAACATATTATATAATGCAAAAAATGTATTCATGGGCTAACATACATGTTGGCTAACATACATGTTTGTACGGTCCACGCAAATCAGGCTAGTGATCTGGGGGAACGCCTTAATTAAGACCCACTCGGGTCCAGAGCATGGCCTCTTGGGGGCTCTACAAGAGCTAGGCTAATCCACTGAAAGATCTCGTGTTCTTAAAATCATCATTTGCTAAATTTCAGCCTTGAAAAATGATACAATAATACATCAGGCACTCAGTGTCGTTTTTAAAAGGGGTGTTAGAAAAAAGAAATAAATTGTCCTATTTCCATGATTTCCAAAACCTTTCTTTTAAATTTGAGAGGGGCGGGGGTGTTAGGTTCCATGCATTTTTTTCACACATTACTGCATATCCCCCCCCCCCCCCCCCCCCATCTTCTGTTTTTGACTATGCTGCAACTATAAAAATTAAATGCCTGCAACCTGCTTAATTTAATTTCTATTTGGGTTCGCCTTAAAATATTTCAATATTTCGAATTCTTGCAAAAAATGACATCCATATCATTAACCTATAAATGTACTTATTCCAAAAAATAAATATATAAATAATAATAATAGATAAAAGAATGCATATTTGCTTAGGCCGAAGGATCGACGGGCAATGCATCACCAAAATAAATCTGGGAAAAGCCATCTTTTTATAGGTTTCTATTTATAAATACGCAATGGAAAGTTTATGTTACTGGGAGGTAAAATATTCTGTTATCTCGGTTCGCTGTCACACTAAAAGCTCTGTAAACTTGCGTTCTGGTATACATTTATAATATATAAACTGCTTAACATTCCAATGACTTGACTGTACATTGTCTGAACTTTTTCCAGTGACACCTTTATTGTAAAAATATATATATGTGAGTGTATATATTTATTGTGGAAGTAATTTTGAAATGTGAAAACGTGTGTGAAAGAAAATTCACGCATTTTAAATAGGCACCGTGTAATTCATGGACTGGAGTCTTGGAGTGGAGTTATGGAGTGGAGTTTGGAGTGGAGTTTGGAGTCAATTTTTGGAGTCTGAGATTTTCTTTAAACATAATTATGCAGAATTTTTTTTTTTTCAGAAATGGCATTTGTATGATTGTCTTTAATATTCTAAAATAATCTACTGGCAAGATAAACCTCTAATTTAATAAATATTTGGTACATTTGTATATACACTGTAAGTATGTTGAACATCATTATTGAACTAATAACCACTTAAATCAAAATTAATTGATAACTTCCTACAACTATTAACCTAAATAGAACTGATCGGTAATGTGATCAAAGACCTAATAATTCTAACAAACCGTTGTAATTTAAAATATCTAAGAACAACAAAGTCAGCTAGGGGTCATGTCACTACGTGTAAGAAATAAGTCAATTAAAGCAACGTAATTTTTTCAATTTAATATACCCCTCTTAGAAACCAGGAAGGTATATAGTAATGGGATGTCTGTCCGTCCATCTGTCTGTACCTCAGTCCGTCTGTTACGCATTGTTGTACCCTCAGAGAATCTTTATTATATAATGCCATTATGCACTTCCTATTTTACTTTTTGATCCGGCACATAATTTAATTTTTTAAAATCTGTTTCTTGTTTATTAAGTATGATTGTTGTATTTTATGTAACATTATTATTAAGTCGGAAAATAGCTCTTTAGGTCTTATGTTCTTTGTTGATGTACCCGACTTTAAATAAATGTTATCTTATCTTATCTGACATATTTTGGGTTTCCCATTGTATAACATGGAGACTGCCATTAATTCATATGTGAGGCAGGGGTATCATTTATGTCTTGAATAAACCAAAAAAAAAAATGAAAAGAGGGTGCAGTGTTTTCTGCTTAAATGATTTTTGATGGTTGTAAGGCACTTGTATCCCTTATACAATACTCTCAGAATGCTTAGGGTATTATTTTATAAGAACTGCATAAAAATGATAGAGGTTATTATGTATGTGTACAAATTTGCAAAAATCAAACAACCTTGTAATAGTTTACTAACCTACGTATACAGCTGTATGGTCCAAATCCTGTAAAAGTTTCAACAGACATAACAGAGATGTGACAGAAAGATATAATTTAGATTAGGGGTTTTAATCACCTTCCAATTATGCACTGAATGCAATAGGTTTCATAACTGATATAACAGTTAAATTTAATTAAACAGGATATACTGTCACTGTTTTAGGTAACATACTAGTAATAATTGATAATGAAAGATCTTTCAGTTACATAATCTCAAAGAATTGTTATTCTAAGTGTTACATAATTATGTTTAAAGAAAATCTCAGACTCCAAAAATTGACTCCAAACTCCACTCCATAACTCCACATACTTACAATGTATATACAAATGTACCAAATATTTATTAAATTAGAGGTTTATCTTGCAAATAGATTATTTTAGAATATTAAAGACAATCATACAAATGCCATTTCTGAAAAAAATTCTGCATAATTATGTTTAAAGAAAATCTCGGACTCCAAAAATTGACTCCAAACTCCACTCCAAACTCCACTCCATAACTCCACTCCAAGACTCCAGTCCATGAATTACACGGTGCCTTTTAAATAAAGCTCTTAAATAACATTCACCGACATCACAAAGCCTGAAAATTCAATTGCATCTAGCATTATCTAAAAAAAAAATCTACTATCTTATTGAACTTTCCCTTGGTTGTAACACGTACCTAGCCTATAAAAAAAACTTAAATAAATAAACCAACTGTCTTAAAATCGTATATTTAGTTATTAATTTATAAACATGCTTAATGAATGTTTCGTGTATGAGAATCTTTATCTGTAACCACTGTAAGCAATACATAAATATCATTCTAAAAATAGGAAATAGGATTCTCCCGTTTTCAAGAATAGAATCAAGAAAAGTGATACGGGTTTTTATGTTACACTTCAATGGAAGGATATGTGTTATATATATTGCCTCAAATATTTACAAGATGTTCATCTGTTGTCATCGAATTATGGCAAATTCAACACCACCCCCTCAGTAGAAGACCTATTTAAAAAAAAAATCAAAAATTCTCACCCTCTCAATGAGAGGCGACTTAGTTCTCGATCTCTCATTTATTTTTTGAAAAATAATTCAAAATGAATGAATAAGTCACTTAGAATTTTTATTCATTTCGACTACATATTACGTGTAAGTGTAAATGCATTAAAATTATGTGTAGGTGCTACATGTATTTCCATAAACACAGTTAATAATCCGCATTAATGATGAAGATAAATGTATTTTTCGCAAAAAAAACTAGACCAGACCAGAGCCAGCCGCTTGAGGAGGGATTCCGAAGGAATAATTAAATATATTGAATTTTCATACTTTAATTGATATTACTGTAAGAAAAAAAAAATAAAATGTTTTATATGCCATTATAGTTTTTTTTTTCTCATTCAATAACATTATCTTAAAATTGCATTGGTTAAAAGTGTCATTTTTCTTTACATATCATTTTTTTAAACTCTGATTTATACCAAAAAATCTGTTAAAAACTCGTCATATAAACGAAATTGTTGATATAAAGCTTAACAAGATGTAAATGAAAATATTAAATAATAATCCTTTAAAATTTTTGACTAAGCTTCCTCGTCGCAAACCACAGCCAAAATGTACGATCGTCTCCCATGTTTGAGTGAGCTATGAGTGAACTCCGAACCGTGACTTGAAACAATGATTTAGCTTGTAATAAGAAAAATCTTACACTAGTAATTGACTTCCTCATTATTAATATTTTTTCAGCAATCGATTTTTTTTTCCAAACATAGACGTCATACATTAATTATAATTAATTTGAATATACGAAGATATTTGCTTCCCTTTCATGCAGGACAAAGTCATTAATGTAGAACAAACTATTTTTAAACTTTGAATCGTGAACCTCGACAAATAGGTTTTCAAAACTCTAGCAATAATTCTTTCTTAAGAATAGATGGTAGTTGCAATTGATCAATTTTTGAAAATATATCACCTGGTGTATCTTTTAAACATTGCAAAACTCTAAATCGAATGAATTTACACGTTAGAGTCTTCAAAGATGAAGGACTAGATGACATAAGAATTAGAGTCTCATAAATCTGTGGATAATCTGAGAAAATCTGTAAATCTTCTTGCTGCTTCCATTCTTTTAACTCGCAGTCAAAGACCAAAGCACCCGCTTTTAAAAGTAAGTCAAATATTCGTAAATCTTGAAGTGTTGACGGATTGTGCAAAAATTTAGATAGTGGTGTCACACCATAGATGTTTGCAGCATTTACATCTGCTCCATAAAGAAGCAGCTGATGTACCGACTCGTAACAATTGGTCTTACAGGCCAAGATAAGAGGAGTATTTCCAAACACGTGAATTGCGTTAGCATTAGCTCCTTTTCTGAGAAGAGATGTGATGATTTTACTGTGTCCGTGAAGAGCAGCCACGTGAAGTGGGTGTAAAAAGGTCATATCAGGTAAATTGACATTTACAGTGGGTGAACTTAAAATAACGTCTACCAGTTTACAATTTCCAGAATCCGCCGCGTGCCAAAGTGAAGAACACTGTCGAATGTCTTGTAAATTCACGTCAAATCCTGCTTTCACGAGGATATTTGCGATTTCTACGTCTCCCCGGACTAAACAAGGATACATACATGTGTTCTGCAGAGAGAAGGAATGGATGAGTTCCTTTGTAGCCCCAGGCCATTTACGCATTCTATTGACATTTGCACCCCTGTCCACAAGAAACTGGACAACTTCTTTTTGTCGAGCAGCCACTGCAACGTCAAGCAGGGCGTAGCCATTATTGTCACTATTCGCATACAACTCTTGAAAAGTAAAATCAACATCCAGACCACTTTTTAGCTCTTTTTCAATAGCATTTATATCACCTTCTTGGAGAATGCGATTGAGCTGTTTTTCATTCATAGCGTCGTAATTCCCAAGGACATTTCTAACTTTAAACACTGAAGAGCTACACATCAAAGTCGGGCTCGGATAATATACTTTTTATTTGTTTAATTTTTTTGTAGGTCTAATGTATTATCATCATCATCCAAAAATGTGCCATCACATTGAAACTGACAAAAACTAAGCGTAAAAGAAGCCGTTTTATATTGCAAATAAATTATTGATAATATTGACTGGGCTCGGTGTGCATAATATTAATACAACGTCAACAGTCAACTTTTTCAAAATCCGTGATTATCATGATTATAGTGAAAAATACAAATATCTGACTTTACAGCTAAATTTACTAAAGAGATATCTCAAGCATGTTTCCAGCAAAGGTAAAATAAAAAAAAAATGGTATGAAACTCCTTCGCTGATTCTAATTTCTATCAATGTCTATGCTGTTCAACTTTGTGTCATTATTTGTGTAACCGTAGATAGAACGTTCTATCGTTAAAATGATATTGTCCTACGGACCCGGGCTTGTATCGAGACACAGTTAGATCATTCTAACTAGTGTAACAAGTGTTAATCTCAAGAGAAATTGACAGGTTATCACTGTATCAGACATTTATACATGTTGGTGTATAATAAATATTAGAAATGAAATTACTCATTTGTACAAGCTTATTCTCCTTAGAGAAGTGGAAAGGCTTTTGCCTACAGGCGATTGTAGGCAAAAGCCTGTCCACTTCTCTAAACTGTAGACAGCTAAAGAGAAGTACAAACTGGCAAACCATGAGCTATGCATTAGTACCTAGCTCACAGTTTGGTAAATATAATGAAGATTTTCATTAATCTCTGGATTATAAGTGCACCAAATGTAACAGGAATAGAAAAGATGCCATAATAATGGTCTAACCACAGAGATATCCAAACTGAAATTCACATTTATCCACATAACCTAGACCAATACTTCGAAATTCTTTCAGTTTTGGACATTCTTCTTGTACATTTTATATTGTAGCACCTTTTCCACTGTGATGATGCTTTATGGGGATTCGGTACGCTGGAGAGAACACGGCGACTTGGGCAGCAAACTTATCAGCGAGCTCTGAAAAATCATGCAGCGTGGACCGAGCAGAGAGAACAGAGGCCAACAGTGTGTCCGATGTCAAAGAAGAGGGGAGCATGCCCAATATGTGGGGTAGTTTATTTTTTCCTAATATTAATTTAATAATTTTTAACTCACCTGAGCCAAAGGCTCAAGTGAGCTTTTCTGATCACAATTTGTCCATTGTCTGTCGTCGTTGTCGTCGTCGTTGTAAACTTTTCACATTTTCGACTTTTTCTCAAGAACCGCTGGGCCAATTTCAACCAAACTTGCCACAAAGCATCCTTAGGTAAAGGGGATTCAAGTTTGTTCAAATAAAGGGCCACGCCCTCATTCAAGGGGAGATAATGGGGAATTAATGAAAATTTGGTGGAATGTTTTAAAAATCTTCTTCTCAAGAACCGCTGTGCCAGGAAAGATGAAACTTATGGGGAAACATCCTCAGGTAGTGTAGATTCAAATTTATTCAAATCATGACCCCCGGGGATGGGGCGGGGCCACAGTGGCCGACCAAAGTTTTACATAGAAATATATAGGAAAATTCTTTAAAGATCTTCTACTCAAGAACCACTGTGCCAGGAAAGATGAAACTTATGGGGAAACATCCTCAGGTAGTGTAGATTCAAGTTTGTTCAAATCATGACCCCCGGGGGTAGGGCGGGGCCACAATGGCCGACCAAAGTTTTACATAGATTGATTGATTGATTGTATATTGTTTAACGTCCCTCTCGGGAATTTTTCACTCATATGGAGACGTCACCCTATGCCGGTGAAGGGCTTCAAATTTTGACCTTTACTCGGCACTCAATGAAGGCCATTGAGCAGTGAGGGATCTTTCTCGTGCCAACGCCTGCCGCTGACACAGGGCCTCGGTTTTTAAGGTCACATCCGAAGGACCTGCAACTTTCACTTCAAAGTGCCGAGCGCATGGCGAAGGAACAGTTGCTACCCATTTTATCGACTAGGTCAGTCGCGGCCAAGATACGAACTCACGACCTCTCGATCACAGAGTGAGCGCTCTACCGACTGAGCTACCGTGAACGGTTTGTGTGTGTAGAAATATAAAGGAAAATTCTTTAAAAATCTTCTTCTCAAGAACCACTGTGCCAGGAAAGATGAAACTTATGGGGAAACGTCCTCATGTAGTGTAAATTCAAGTTTGTTCAAATCATGACCCCCGGGGGTAGGGCGGGGCCACAATGGCCGACCAAAGTTTTACATAGAAATATATAGGAAAATTCTTTAAAAATCTTCTTCTCAAGAATAACAAAGCCATAATTGATCATATTTATATGGAAGCATCCTCAGGTAGTGTAGATTCAAGTTTGTTAAAATAATGACCCCTGGGGATAGGGCGGGGCCACAATGGCCGACCAAAGTTTTACATAGAAATATATAGGAAAATTCTTTAAAAATCTTTTTCTCAAGAATAGCAAAGCAAAAATTGATCATATTTTTATGGAAGCATCCTCAGGTAGTGTAGATTCAAGTTTGTTAAAATAATGACCCCTGGGGGTAGGACGGGGCCACAATGGCGGACCAAAGTTTTACATAGAAATATATAGGAAAATTAAACCAATTTCTACTTTTTCCTAGCCACAGTGCTCAGGTGAGCGATGTGGCCCATGGGCCTCTTGTTTAAAGTATATGACTATTCATCATGTTTTATTTAAGTGCTTTTTATCGTTGTTTTTACACTCCAAATAGTTAACAAAGTTACACATTTAATGATATGATTTTCTTTTAACATTTTAGAAGTTTGTGGAACCCAATTTAGAGCTGGAGTCAGCTTTCTCTGACGTAATGACAATGATGAGTCACATGTCTCAAATCTGTCAGGTAACTTATTAAAAATTATTTCACCATCTTGACTGAATTTTATGCACATATAAACATAGGAATGTAAAAATCTTTGAGGTATCTCTCTAGTATATAAAAATGCAGAAAAGAAATACCTCATACCTGTATAAGGTTTTCCAGAGGTTCTACATGTAGGTCAATACATGTATGTGTTGTTTTTTTTTTTTTTACATGTTTTAATATGGCACAGTAATGCATGTACTTGTATGAACACAAAACGATTATGAAAGTGCATTTCAAAATGTCTTATACATGTACAATAAAATGATGTAAGTAGTACACAATGCAAAATTATACAATTGTATCAATTTAAAAAAAATTGTTTTATTTTGATCCCATCCTTTAGCAGTTAAACAGAATAGACCAAAAAAAAAAAAATTCATTGAGGGTCTTTGATTATGTCATTCATAAGCTTTATTGAGCCTCCATCATATCAATATTGTATGTTGATAATATTTTACATTGAAAACTTTTATGCATTTCAGAGGTATTACTGTGGAACTGATGGAGAACCTCAGACAAAACATGATAAAAAACACTGCCAGAGATACCACAGTACACAACTTATAAACAAGACAAACAGTCAGAGGGTAAGACCAGGGTTTAGAGATCAATACAATTACTTTTTGGGACCAAATTCAATTGATCAACTAGTGGCAAGAAAAAAAACAACATTCCCCTCATAACCTGTGTCTTATTTTTTTTTAATCAGGTGAATTCATTAAATAAAGAGGTGTACCTGTCAGAAAGTGAGCAGCCCTCATCTTGTGATACGTACAGAGGAAGAACAATATCCAGTCGACATCCTACGTTTGACATTTCTGCTTCTTTACCACAATCCAGAAAAGCCAAGCATGTCCGATTCTCTCCAGGGGACTCAGTTGAAGTCCAATTTTATACTTGATACTTGTTACTTTTACATAGCCTGTTAACATACTTTAAAGATTTTTAACATTTTAAATATTTTTTAGACTTATCCTATACAGATTTGAAAAAAATAATCTCATTTAAAAAGTGCAATTATACATGAAAAGTGCTTTTAAATTCAATTATATTTTTGTAATTTGTTATATATACTCTAAAACAACTTTTTAATTTCATAGAAAATTTTGGTTCAATGAATCGCACAATCTGATGTTTGAGATGCAATTTTTTCTCAGGAAATCATATTACATGTACAGGTAAACTTCGGTATCTCGACATCGGATAAGTCGACAACCTGGGATATGTCGATGTCCGTCCGCGGTCCCGGCAATTTTTTGCTCTACTTAACCTTAATTGTTTGTCAGCTGGTCGCTCGTCACACACGGACGACTCCGTGTATCTCGACGTCGTCAAAAATTCACACCTTTCACACCCATGTTTTGACTACATACTGCTCTGTAGAAATGTGTTTGTAAAGGAATCCCAAGCCCCCTCGACGTCTCTGAGTCGTTAATTGTTTAATGTTCAGCTTGGGTAATATCATTGATAAATCTTCTCGATTCTGCTTAAATGTGAATCGTTTATTTATGTCGAAATCTAACAAAACTTTATCATTTTGTAAAAAAAAGAAACTGAATAATAATGAAGAGTGTACACATTGAATTCAATTTAACTTAAAAATTGTGGTGGAAATTAATCCATTCGACAGGAAACAATCAAATCTATGACATGCGCGACCATTGAATCAGCCTTAATATACATGTAAATGCATGTGTAACATCATCAGGTTTGTTTAATGCGCAGTTCCAATTAAATTTTGGTTTGAAAATGAAATGAAAATTTAATGATGAATGATTATAAAATAAAAATGAAATGAAATGACATAAATAAAAAAAATATACGCATTATTTTTTTTCCATATCACGGACTTCGACCTTCTACCATTTCTGTTTGGAGTTTATAGAGCGCATTTCGTATCCTGTTTTGACAGAGCTAGTTGCACGTGGATCGAATGCTAGATGGAAAACTGTTTTTAGTATAATGAGAAGATTTCGATAAAAAAGAAAGTATTTCATAAATTACATTTGTGAATAACTTCTTAGATTTTCTAATAAATATACATTGCATGCATAGGGATAGCTGAAACAAACGAGCTACAGTCTAATAAAGACGTGTAGGTAGTCACATGTCTGTTCAGTTTATAGGTCTACGGTTTTACTATAGAGTAAAATTAAGGACGTCGAGTCTCAACTCTGATATCTCGACACCTCGGATATCTCGACATTTTCCGATTGTCCCGTCGATGTCGAGATAACGAAGTTTACCTGTATTTTACAAATTACTCATTTCAATAGAATATCTTTGAATATACTCAACTACAAATTTACTTGCTCTATCTTGCCATTTTCAAAATCTGAACAAGTAAAAGTCTTCCTTTGTGTGTGTGTGTGTGTGTGTGTGTGTGTGTGCGTGTGTGTGTGTGAATGTCACGAGTGGCCTGCATTTTACCTGTTCAATGAAAGAACAGGCTGTCTGCAGTAAGACTCTCGAGTGTTCTTAGGAAAATAAATTTTGCACTGCCAAAACATTTTAATGCAATAATTGAACTCACTGTGTTTTTGTGTTCATACACTTTTTGATGAATTTTACATGGCCAGTTTTTGTAAAAGTTTGTTACAATTGTGTGTTCCTAGTCAATAAAGTTTGATATTTTAATGATCTATATATTGGCCATTTATATGTGTCTGTTTTAGTACATGGATCTGAAATCATCTGGCACAGTACATTATCAAATGACTTATATTTATACATATTTTGGACTGCACATCTTGATAGGGAAAATTACATGTAGTTAGTCAAAGTTGTGCATGAAATTAGATGAAAACAAGAGGTCCAAGGGCCACAATGCTCAGTGAAATCCAACAATGTCCTTCCTCAGCATTCTATCCCTGCATATATATTCCTGTGTAAAATTTTGAAACCTCTTGTGGCCCCTGCCACTCTATCCTTGGGGTTATATGAACAGACTTGGATCTAAACACCTGTGAATGCCGCCAAATCATGACTTTGCTATCCTCAAGATTTTTCCCCTAGTATATTTTCTTATGTAAAACTTTTATTTCCCAGTATGACCCCCACCCTTAACCCTGAGGCTCAGGATGTAAAAAAAAAACTTCAATCTACACTATCTGGAGACTGATGTTTTCACATAAATATTACCAATCTTGGCTTTGCTATTCCCGGAAAGCAGATTTCCCCCATATATTCTATGTTAAACATTGTTCATCCATTGTGACCCTACCTCTACCCCATTGGGTCATGATGTGATCAAACTTGAATCTGTACATGTGACCTGAGAATGCTTCCATATCAATATGACTGATCATGGGTATGATATTCTGGAGAAGATCAGGTTACTTTTAATACCCATGTAATACTTTAAACATCTATACTAGCCAAACCCTACACCTGTGGGTCCAGATTTGAAGACTGACCAAGATATGTTTTAAATGACTCTACCAAATCTTCACTTTTTGACCATATCTAATTTTTCCCTTTTTTTTAAGTTATCTCCCTCTGAAGACTGGAAGGACAGGCGCGGATCCAGGATTTGAAGTTAGAGGGGGCGCCAAAAATAGGCAAGGGGTCTGGGGGCCGCCTTGAGGCCCCCAGTGGGTCCAGGGCAAAGCCCTGGTGGGGCCCAGGGGGCGAAGCCCCCGGAAGCTCCTGGATTCTAGAGATTTTGTAGGGTAAAAATGAGGTCTACCAAGTAGACATCTTTACATTTTCTAGACGAAACTGTGATTTACGTTAACTTTGACAATTTTAGGGGGGGCGGGGGGGTCACACAGCACCTTATTATAGTACTACACAGATTAATACAAATCCAGAAAGAGACATAGAGGGCTCTGTCAAGAGAATTATGGCTTGTATAATTATTTAACTATGCCAACACAATAACATTTTTCCATATGACAGAGGCATACACCATGAACATGTTTACATCAATACATTTTTCAAGTGACTTATATAGCGCATGCATATTAAACACAGTAAAAGTTGGGGAAATAATCTTTTGAAAATGAAATATCCAGGAAGATTTTTTGTATATATATATATACAGTGATTACGTAAAATCAAAAACAGTATGTTACCAGCCCCCTGTGTTTATAATCACCAAGATCAATGTCCTAATGGTGTCAAAAATTTTACCAATTCCCAGAGAAACTTTCATGGGTTTTCGCAGTAGTTCATATATATGGGAAATTCAGTCACCTGATACATTGAAAAAACTAGTTTATGGGGATGTAAATTCATGGGTAGGGTCCATCTAGGATATCAAGAAAATTTGGTTCCCCCTCAAACAATGAGGATTCCAAAGTATTTATCAGTACACCAAATGTCAACCTTCATCAAGACATAACCTTGAGGATCATTAAGGACTTTGAATTACCTGTTTAAATTCAGTGTCACTTTTAATCACACACACTATCTCATTATAATTTCTTTTTTATTATTCTGTGTCACAACATTAAGCAGAATGCAATAAGACATCTTGTAAAGCAAACGCTGGAATGAAATAAGTCAATCAATGTATATAAATAAAATTAACAAAAATCACAATTAACAATATACTGTATCTGCATATTTCCCAGAAGGCATGATTTTAATTTTTACTTTGTTTTCTTAAACTCTAAGACCTAACTATTTAATTTTTTCTGTCAAACTTGTACAAAACTATGTAATAGTCATTATATTGAAAATGCTTACATTAGATGTCTAACAAAAAACAGTTTGAATATGATTCAAAATAAGCTGATGATAAAATAATCAGAAATTAATATATGAGTACTACAAGTAAATTAAATAAAAACAAAGGAACATATTAATTTCATTGGAATGTTGGCTGATAAATTTAAATAAGTTTACTGGTATACATATGATTATCAAATATCCTCTGTTCCAAAACCTTTCATCATTTTAAGTTTCATTATTGTACATTATCTCATCTTAGGTGTGAATCCGAGACAAAAATATTGAAAAACAAAAAATATTAGTATGCATATAAATTTCTAATAAAAATTTCAAAATTTACTGAGATACATGCATAAGTAAAACTTTGGATTGCAAATATATATATTTTTTTGAAAATATGCATGATTTTTTTTCTTGAAATCTTAAGATTAATAAAAAATTGGACAAGGAAATAGAACTTGAGAGATATCAATTTTGTTAACATATGTGCATGGCAAAGATATCTTCTTTACATAGCTAATATATAATTGTGTATTAATGAAATATATCATTATTTAGTTGTTAATAATGCAAATAAATTTTGTGGAGAAGTGAAATATCTTGAAAAAGCAAAGAATAAGTGTTATTTTGGTCATTGCTTCCTACATGTGAAAATATTTAACTAACTAAAGGCCATGCAAAGTTAATTACTTGGTTCTCAGGCCTTTTTTCAAGAAATATGATGAGGGAGGAAGGCATTTTTTTTTCTTTTTTATTGCCCCCAAAACATGATGAGGCAGCTTTTTACATTGTACAAAACCTCAAAATATGATGAGGGAGGTGTTTTGGTGTTTATATTTTATTGATTTAGCAATAAAAAGGGTCAATGAGGCACCCTTGGAAGAGATGAGGGAGGGCTTGAGAACCAAGAAATTAATTTTTTTTGCCTAAGTGTGAGCTTCATTATTCACAAACTGAGGAATACATTTATACAAACTAAAATGCCCATTTGTAGACAGAATGTGCACTATATTTATATTGTTATTACACGTATATGCATGTGAATTGTTGCAAATCGGTAATTTTTTATTGACATTTGGTATGTGCATGCTACAGTCTTACATGTACCAAATGTTTTTATAGTAAACATTCAGTTTGGCTCTATATGTTCCAAGAATTCAGTATGAACGTTTCTTGATTTCAGTGTCTATATTGTCTAGTGATTTTTGGGGGGTTTCAGTGCTAAGATAAACAAATAAGTTTTAAAAATGTATTCAAAGCTTCAAGGTCATGTAATCAACAAATGGTATCTTTTCTATGTTGTTTGCAATACCATAAAATCAAAACATAGGTAATCAGAGATTACAGAGCTCACCTCAACGAATGTTGTCTTTAAGTAAGGCAAAGTCACACAATTAACCAACAAAAAGTATACATTCCAAAAATGAAAATATTTTTAAAAGCAATTTTGATCTGATACTTTGAAATAGACCTACATAAAAAATTTAAACTACTTCTTCTTCATGAAAATGTAATGAAAATCCAGCATCTGAAGCAAATTTGAGTTTTCATCCCTTGATGCAGCATTTGTGCAAGTTTGGTTTATACAATGTTATATAAGCCTTATAGTTTTTGGTAATAGACCTGCAACCATAACTTTTACCTTGTCTATTATCTGAAAAATGTATGTCCAATTCAGCATCCGAAGCAAGTCCATTAGTGTGCATCCTTAGATGTATCATCCATGCAAGTTTGCTCATTATAGGGCTCATAGTTTATTGGAAATGAAACATGCATCAAAACTAGCATTTTCACTCATCCACAAAAAGTAGGTCAGATTCAGCATCCGAAGCAAGCCTGGAAGTATGCATCCTTAGATGTATCATCTATGCAAGATTGGTCATTAAAGAACTCATAGTTCCTTGGAAATGAAACCTGCACCAAAAACTTTTAACTATTCACTCAACCGGAAAATGTAGGTCAGATTCAGCATCCGAAGCAAGCCCGGTAGTGTGCATCCTTAGATGTATCATCCATGCAAGTTTGGTCAACATAGGGCTTAAAGTTACTAGGAAATGAAACCTGCACCAAAAACTTTTACCTGTTCACTCAACTGGAAAATGTAGGTCAGATTCAGCATCCGAAGCAAGCCCGGTAGTATGCATCCTTAGATGTATCATCCATGCAAGTTTGGTCAACATAGGGCTTATAGTTACTAGGAAATGAAACCTGCACCAAAAACTTTTACCTGTTCACTCAACTGGAAAATGTAGGTCAGATTCAGCATCCGAAGCAAGCCCAGTAGTATGCATCCTTAGATGTATCATCAACGCAAGTTTGGTCAACATAGGGCTTATAGTTACTTGGAAATGAAACCTGCACCAAAAACTTTAACCTGTTCACTCAGATTCAGCATCCGAAGCAAGCCCGGTAGTATGCATCCTTAGATGTATCATCCATGCAAGTTTGGTCAACATAGGGCTTATAGTTACTTGGAAATGAAACCTACACCAAAAACTTTAACCTGTTCACTCAACCGGAAAATGTAGGTCAGATTCAGCATCCGAAGCAAGCCCGGTAGTATGCATCCTTAGATGTATCATCCATGCAAGTTTGGTCAACATAGGGCTTATAGTTACTTGCAAATGAAACCTGCACCAAAAACATTTACCTGTTCACTCAACCAGAAAATGTAGGTCAGATTCAGCATCCGTAGCAAGCCCGGTAGTATGCATCCTTAGATGTATCATCCATGCAAGTTTGGTCAACATAGGGCTTATAGTTACTTGGTAATGAAACCTACACCAAAAACTTTAACCTGTTCACTCAACCGGAAAATGTAGGTCAGATTCAGCATCCGAAGCAAGCCCCGTAGTATGCATCCTTAGATGTATCATCCATGCAAGTTTGGTCAACATAGGGCTTATAGTTACTTGGAAATGAAACCTACACCAAAAACTTTAACCTGTTCACTCAACCGGAAAATGTAGGTCAGATTCAGCATCCGAAGCAAGCCCGGTAGTATGCATCCTTAGATGTACCATCCATGCAAGTTTGGTCAACATAGGGCTTATAGTTACTTGGAAATGAAACCCACACCAAAAACTGCACCAAAAATGTTAACCTGCTCCAAAAACATTAACCTGGTAATTCCTTTGCTGAAATTGCAGCATCTGAAACTTTGTCTGGTATAATAAAACACACTAAAACCATCTTCCATGCATGTCTAATCAGTATAGGACACAGAAGTAATTAAAAAGAAAACTGCTCCAAAAAACTTAACCTTAACCTGGGACGCCGACACCGACGCCGAGGGTATCACATAAGCTCCCCCCAACTTCGTTGAGGTGAGCTAAAAATAAGGAACCCTTCTTCCTCATCACATGGAATCGTTCAATGCCAGCCAAATTAATATCACATGCAATTTAAGATCTCCATATTCGTGAATATATTTCTCTTGAAAAGAAACAGCATATATCAACAAATGAAAACTGGAGAGAGAAAAAAAATGAGCAAAAGCACTATAAGCAAATAAATTAATACTCAACACTAGGGAACACAAAAAAGCCTAACAAAGAAAAAATACATTTATATCAACAATAGAATGTTTTGTAACATACATTCCAAACAATATCTTCCATATCAAGGACACTAATATAAATACAATGTATCACTTTCACACATTCCAAAATGATGCATTCAATTTCTTTGATCCCACTTGATGAACATCACAGTAAATGAACATTATGAGACATAAACATTAACAATTAATCCACTCCCTTCTCAATCCAGATATGATGTTTTCTTTGCAAATCAATGACATATATTCTTTGTATCTTTGTTCATGACAAGCAACAAAAAAAGTAAAACAATATTTTCAGTGCAATCATTTTTATAAAATGCATATTGCACCTAGGTGATATTAATTTAAGGTAATGATTTCATGAGCAAGCAAATGAGAGACAGTATGCAAAAAGTAAATGTCCATGCATACAGAATAGATTTCACATGGTCCTCAAAGGTACAAATTCCTGTAGAATAAGCCTGTGGTTCTCAGAACATAGATATGTTAATGAATTACATGTACTATTAAAGCACCAAAATCATGAGCATTGATTGACTTACATGTAAAATTTAACCTTTAATCTTTGTGTATGACTTACAAATTGTGTTGGTTACCTAGCTTGTACATTTGTTTATTTCTGGAAACGTTCATTAATATCGGCAAAATCAAATTTTATCTCACAAAAAGTTAGAAGAAATTTGAAAAGATACAAAAAATATGTCCGAGTTAAATAACATTGATTTTCAAAATTGCTATAAAATATACAAGTATGTATATCTTAATACAGAAGTTTCACAACCAGCATATATATACAATATATCTTTATAATGTTTCTTAATGTTTAAATAAAATGGACAGATCAAATTATAGTAAATGATTTGTGTATCTTGTAATTTTCCCACATTCCTCTGTTTCCTCACTTTAATCATAAGTCATGTAATTCTTTTTTTAAATCAAGCAATAATGAACAACACACACAACAAAAAAATTTGGAATGACATTTTAGTCCAATTTTAAATGACTAAATAGAAAACAAAATCTAAACATATGGCTATAACACAGAAAAAATGAACACCATTTGTATAACGCAATTAAACTCAAAATTTAACAAAAAATGCACCAATATCACCATTGCGTTTATAACATGTAAAATATTTTTTCTGGCTTTAACATTAATGTCCCAAGTCACTTATTTCAAGGGACATAATCCAAACAATAAAGTAGCACAACCCTTGGAAATAAAGGTATCACATTTGTGTAGGAATTCTCTGTCAAGACATTAAAATGCTCGTTAAACAGGGAAATATGCTATCTACTCTACCAAAAAATAGGAAACATACCAATAACTACAATGCGTCATGAATGTTAAATTGTATATTATAGCCTTCATAAGGCTCCAAAAATATCTACCACTAAAAATAAGAACAGGAATCACATGATATGACCTACTAATCACCTACAGTGTATCACAAGTAATCAAGTATAAATTTGGTCAAAGTGGTGCATTTCTGAGAAACTGAAAAAACTAGAACTGTCCAATCGGGAAAAAATACCCCCCGCTGGGTTTTTCAGAAGTAAGTTTTTGTATAATAAAGATATGTATCAAACACGAATTATAAAATTTTTCTTCCAGTGACCTTGAACTTCCCCAAGTGACCTTGGGTCAAGGTCATGACACACCCTTGGGTCATGGGCAATCTTTGAGTGAAATAAGAACCTACCAAGTTTATCTGTAAGAAAGATATGGACCGTACACGAATTATTAAATTTTTCTTCCAGTGACCTTGAACTTCCCCAAATGACCTTGGGTCAAGGTCATGACACACCCTTGGGTCATGGGTAATCTTTGTATGAAATGAAAACCTACCAAGTTTATCCTTAAGAAAGATATGGACCGGACACGAATTATTAAATTTTTCTACCAGTGACCTTGAACTTCTCCGAATGACCTTGGGTCAAGGTCATGACACACCCTTGGGTCATGGGCAATCTTTATGTGAAATGAAAACCTACCAAGTTTATCCATAAGAAAGATATAGACCGGACACGAATTATGAAATTTTTCTTCCAGTGACCTTGAACTTCCCCAAATGACCTTGGGTCAAGGTCATGACACACCCTTGGGTCATGGGCAATCTTTGTGTGAAATGAGAACCTACCAAGCTTATCCATAAAAGGTATGCGTCAAACATGAATTTTGAAATTTTTCTCCCAGTGACCTTGAACTTCCCCAAATGACCTTGGGTCAAGGTCATGACACACCCTTGGGTCATGGGCAATCTTTGTGTGAAATGAGAACCTACCAAGTTTATCCATAAGAAAGATATGGACCGGACACGAATTATGAAATTTTTCTTCCAGTGACCTTGAACTTCCCCAAATGACCTTGGGTCAAGGTCATGACACACCCTTAGGTTATGAGCAATCTTAATGTGGAGTAGTAGATTCTAATGTCCCTCTGTAAGAAAGATATGGACCGGACACGATTGCACAGACAGACGGACAGAGAGACAGACGGACAAGGTGATTCCTATATACCCCCCCAAACTTCGTTTGCGGGGGGTATAATAATACACATACTAATGTAAACTCACAAAAAAGCAGCTATATGAAATTGATAACAACCATGGATATTAGATACCCATTTTGAAATTCAAAATGCATTTTAAATTTCAATTCAATATGCATTTAAAAATATACAAAGAAAATGTCAGTTTGTTCAGATTTTATCACTAACTTAATTTCCATTTATAATATTTTAAGAAAAAAAAAGAACCCTCAAATATTATAAAATATACAGTTGAACTTTGATATCTCCAACAAGGATGTCTAAAATACATGTACCTTGGGAATCTAAAAGTCAGCATAGCCAGCTAGAAGCCACAACTATTTTTCCTTTGTATACTTTAACCACAGTATCTTGAATGTCTACATATTTCAAACTTTAATTTTTTCTTGGTCCTATTAAGCTAGATTTAACTATGTTACACTGTATAATAGACTTGAAAAATTAGATATGCTTTTTGTATGCTGCGCATTTAGCTGGATATCTTTATAAAACTTTTTAAAAAGAAATCTATCAAGTTGAATGCAACATAATGGGTTTCAACAAGAAAAATCTTATGGTTTTCCAACTTAAGAAACTTCACATCATGAATTAATTCCCCAATCACTTTTTCTTTTATAAGTTGCAAGCAAAAATAATGAAAGTATTGAAAGAATGAGATAAAAACAAAATTGCTGTAAGAAATACTTGAACACTAATGGTATAAATATTTAAAATTTTATAATCATTCATATTTTAAAAAAAATATGCGTAAACTAGAAAGTATTTGGTTTACAGCTACAAAGAAATCACAAATTTGAAATCAAAACATCCCATGACAAATTATTATTGTTAAACAATTGGTTTCATTATTTGTCTTGCAAATATTGTTATCAATTTAATTCTTTTAAAAGTTCTTTACATAACATGCATATCACATGATCTTCTAGTAAAGTGTGTGTCTAGTGCAGTGCAGCGGGTGTGCTCGATTGGTTTTCTTGAAGACCGTCACACTTGAGTGCTCAGCTGAGAGACAGCTCTTATCAGTGCATTGTTCTCCAACTGAAGTTTCTGCGCTTCATCGTCCATGTCTTCAAGATCCTGAAATTAAAACCAAGAAGTTCTAATAAAAGACAAAAGTCTTGCTTCAACAATCATCATATCTTTCGAACAGAATCTTTCAATATATGTTAATTGTAGCAACCCGCAAAAAGTAATGTGACGAAATCACACTTTATATTTAATATAATTTATTGTATGCTAAAGAATTAAAATCAAAAAAATCTAAACCATATACTTAAGTATTTATGTTAATACTGTACAAGTAGTATTTCAAGATTTTTAAAAGACATCTCATTTTCTCTAATGTGAATACCTGTAAGGTTTAATATGGTTTAAATCGTATGCCAGCAATGGAATATAAAATTCAAGATTAAAATTAAATTATTCAGATGACTTTAAACTTTTCATATGCATATGCAGAGTTAACAGAGTAAACAATCTGATCTAAAAGGCTATATACATGCAATTTCATTAAGAGTAATCAAAACAAGAGGCCCATGGGCCACATCGCTCACCTGAGCACCAAGGGTAGGACTAGTAAAAATTGGCTTTTTATTGTAAATCCAAAAGTAGTCCCATGACCAATGATGGATTTGCTATTTTTTAGAAAATGATTGAGAAGAAGATTTTAAAAGAATTTTCCTATATATTTCTATGTAAAACATTGGTCGGCCATTTTGGCCCCGCCCTACCCCCCGGGGTCATGATTTGAACAAACTTGAATCTACACTACCTCAGCATGCTTCCATATAAATATGATGAATTATGGCTTTGTCATTCTTGAGAAGAAGATTTTTAAAGAATTTTCCTATATATTTCTATGTAAAACCTTGGTCGGCCATTTTGGCCCCGCCCTACCCCCCGGGGTCATGATTTGAACAAACTTGAATCTACACTACCTGAGCGTGCTTCCATATAAATATGATGAATTATGGCTTTGTCATTCTTGAGAAGAAGATTTTTAAAGAATTTTCCTATATATTTCTATGTAAAACTTTGGTCGGCCATTTTGGCCCCGCCCTACCCCCGGGGGTCATGATTTGAACAAACTTGAATCTACACTACCTGAGCATGTTTCCATATAAATATGATGAATTATAGCTCTGTCATTCTTGAGAAGAAGATTTTTAAAGAATTTTCCTATATATTTCTATGTAAAACTTTGGTCGGCCATTTTGGCCCCACCAAACCCCCGGGGGTCATGATTTGAACAAATTTGAATCTACACTACCTGAGCATGCTTCCATATAAATATGATGAATTATAGCTCTGTCATTCTTGAGAAGAAGATTTTTAAAGAATTTTCCTATATATTTCTATGTAAAACTTTGGTCGGCCATTTTGGCCCCTCCCTACCCCCGGGGGTCATGATTTGAACAAACTTGAATCTACACTACCTGAGCATGCTTCCATATATATATGATGAATTATGGCTTTGTTATTCCTGAGAAGAAGATTTTTAAAGAATTTTCCTATATATTTCTATGTAAAACTTTGGTCGGCCATTTTGGCCCCGCCCTACCCCCGGGGGGTCATGATTTGAACAAACTTGAATCTACACTACCTGAGCATGTTTCCATATAAATATGATGAATTATGGCTTTGTCATTCTTGAGAAGAAGATTTTTAAAGAATTTTCCTATATATTTCTATGTAAAACTTTGGTCGGCCATTTTGGCCCCGCCCTTACCCGGGGGGTCATGATTTGAACAAACTTGAATCTACACTTCATGAGCATGCTCCCATATAAATATGATGAATTATGGCTTTGTCATTCTTGAGAAGAAGATTTTTAAAGAATTTTCCTATATATTTCTATGTAAAACTTTGGTCGGCCATTTTGGCCCCGCCCTTACCCGGGGGGTCATGATTTGAACAAACTTGAATCTACACTTCATGAGCATGCTCCCATATAAATATGATGAATTATGGCTTTGTCATTCTTGAGAAGAAGATTTTTAAAGAATTTTCCTATATATTTCTATGTAAAACTTTAGTCGGCCATTTTGGCCCCGCCCTACCCCCGGGGGTCATGATTTGAACAAACTTGAATCTACACTACCTGAGCATGTTTCCCCATAAGTTTCATCGTTCCTGGCACAGTGGTTCTTGAGAAGAAGATTTTTAAAATATACCACTAAATTTTCATTAATTCCCAATTATCTCCCCTTGAATAAGGGCGTGGCCCTTCATTTGAACAAACTTGAATCCCCTTCACCCAAGGATACTTTGTGGCAAGTTTGGTTGAAATTGGCCCAGCGGTTCTTGAGAAGAAGTCGAAAATGTGAAAAGTTTACAGACAGACAGACGGACAGACGGACGCCGGACAAAATGTGATCAGAAAAGCTCACTTGAGCCTTCGGCTCAGGTGAGCTAATAAACAAGATTTAAAAAGGGAAAATACTCACAACACTAAAAAATCCACTAAATACTATTTAATATACACAAATTATGAACGCAAAATACCACTAAAAATTAACAATAATATAAAATTTCGAACTACAAGTTGCTGAGATCAAAAGGAAAAGCATCCAAAACATTCAGCTACAATGTAACATATACCTTCAAATGTCAATTTTCCTAGTGTGGACATATAAAACAAGAGAAACTTTCAATTAAATTTCAAACACTGATTTGTCTTGACTCTTAAATCTTTTTTCTTAATTCTTTCCTCTGTCACATAACAATTCACCAGATACAAGTTCAAAAATTATCATACACTTAGTGGCAATATACATGTATTCTCTTTGTCTATTATTATAATGCATTAACTGTTAACAAATATTAAACTTTTAAATTTCTGGTCTTGAAAATTAACTGGTACAGCCGTATCACTATATTTCCTTCGTATGTACTTTTCATGCACTTTGTAAGAGTACTAATATATTCCATTTTATTTGAAATAATTTCCCCCAGCCTTTATTTTTTTTGGATGCTAACCCCACTTCCCTGAACCGACATATTATTCCCCACTCTGTAAGATATTCCACAGACAACTCGTTTGACCTCTTACCTTATTAAGAAGGTACACCTCTCTCTCCAGCTCTGCTATTCGTCTGTCTTTATCTTCCAACAGTTCCTTCATCTTCTTATTCTCCTCTTGCTCTTTCTCAAGCATCTACAATTGCAAATAGAGTGAAATATGATTTACATTAAATGAAAGCAAATAAATAAATAAAATAGTTTCAACTGTGATGATGATCATAGTTTACTTAACTGTTGATGCCTGAACAGTATTATCATCAATTAAAACAAAACAACAATATTTTAGCTTAGACTAATGATGTTAACAAGACAGAGTTTTGAGGGTAAAAGTCATATGATTCACCTGAAGTAGAATGTAACATGGATTTACTCAAATATATAACATTGATTAAGAACATTATCATTGAACAGATAATCAGGGTTGCCATGATTTGGGTTACACTATATGGTAACTTTTGCTGTTGGAATCCTCTACATAGTGCTTTACCTTTTTGAGATTGATCTTTTCGGCATCTTCCCTCGTTGTTGGAGCAGCTACGCTTCGGAACTGACTCTGAAATGGACTTTCTTTACGGAATCTATCCCCAAAATTTCGGTAGCCTTTAGAAGTAAAACCTGTTGTGGAATTTGTTTCTGTTTCGCTGGGTTTTCTGTCGTATTTAGAGATGATAGAAGATATTCCTGTACCAGAAGAAGGAGGTTCCCTCTCCTGATTTAACACGTCGGGACTGCGCCACTTATATCGGTTCAGTATTGAGGAGGGAGAAGAAGAATTGGAGGAGTATGACGGAGAAGTCTTTGTTTCGTTCTCACTTGTGTTGGGTGAAAAATTTCTGAAAGACTTGGGTATATCCGGATGGTTAGTAGACCTGCCAAAGAACTGCTGGCCTTGCCCCATCTTAGGACTAGCGTTTTGATTGGACGACTCAACGGAGTCAGACTTTCCGATGAGAGTAAGATTGGTTTCTGATTGGCTCACGGTGCTGTCATAATCCTGGTTATCTTCTAGGTCCGCCTCAAGATCTGAAGGGCTGGAAATAAATGTGAAAACAAAATTTATACATGCAATCACTATAATTACATGTGTAGAAAATATAATTCTATAAGAGCTTAAGTTTTTTTCTTAAATAATAAATAAAAGCAAGGAATTAATTGTTTATGAAAACCCCAATAAATATATAGTTTAGCTGGAATATAGACATTATTTATACCTTTTGTTTGATCTTCTGGAAGAGAAAGGTCTTGGTACTCTGCTCTGTTAAGATAAATTAAGTGGATAACATTATAAATCAAAATCAAACTATCAGTATACATCTAGATCTGTTACATTTATAATGTCTTCTTCTCTCCATACAAAGCAAATTCAGAAATAAAAAAGAATATGATTAATTTGATAATAAATATAGTTATCTATAGCCAGTAGGTCTTTGGTATTGGAATATATGACTATTTTTATATGAAAGTATTTATTATAATTTGTTTAATGTACAAGAGATGTATAAAAACAGGGTTTTTTTTATAAGTCTCTGATGTAACAGACACTTTATATACTGGTATACGGTAATATACCAGTGTGCCCAGCACCTTTACCTCGGATGGAGTTTGAGGATTATCTGCGTCGATGACTTCATTATACGATGTATTCTTCTTCGCTTCCAATAACTCCTCGTCATCTTCATCATCAAGGGAATCCCCTGTACTCTAAAAATACCAATTTTAATCAGTATTGTGTACTCTTAAAAGACAATGGAGCAAATTTTATTCTGCCTCTGTGTTTTTCATATAATATATACATGTATATAAACTAGTGGCGAACATGACTTAATATATTTAAAGAAAATAATGATTATCCTTATTCATTAACCACTTCATGACTTGTGATACAAAACAAAGCCAAAACCCTGTGACTTGGTGTCTGCTAGGAATGTATTCTTAACAATTCAGAAAGCAAATAAACATGATTCCACTGGCAGGATCTGATGCGTATTTATAGCGAGTGCAGCGAGCGTCACAGCGACGCTCGTCACTGCGAGCTCTAACGACAATGCCTGGGTGAAGAGAAAATTCAAACTACTGCACATTCATTCGCTAGAATATTTTGCCGGAGTAATGCCACAATGCATTGCTTCGTACACAAAAGCTAAAGCAACATTCTCGCGAGAAAAACAACAAAAGTTAAACGAATAATAAACTTGCCTTGATTTAATGAATTTGTTGCAGAAAAATAGTCAGTAAAATGGTTCTTCATTAAAATCAGCCCTGTTCAGGCTTCAGTTTAGTAAAGCACCATGAATACGACGTCATGTGACGTCAGAGTCTTAGAGGCGCCGGATGTAAGGTGCGGTTTGACGAGCCCGATCTTAATGAAATCTTGATAAGTATGTGCCCTCGCCCTAATGGTCGCAACATCAACATATTAATTTGCAGTGTTTCCGATTGACTTTTGAGCTTGATAACTTTTTGTTATCAAACGATATTAATAATTTTCATATCAAGACATGAGAATTAATGTCAGCAAGAAATTTAGTCAAATTAATGACAATATAGACAACCCCTACAATATAAACAATGCCCTACACTAGCAACTGTCAACAGTCCTGTGATGACGTAACATACCTCTGTTGAGGGGAGGTTGACTACACCAGTGCTGCGCCTCTTCTCTCTCAGTTTACGTTTATCTTTAGGGAGTTTTCCTTTATGGAGGTGGTTAGGTCGCCTTTTGTCTCGGGCTCGTGATGCTGCCGTTGATCGGGAGGGGGACTCGTGCTCGGGAATGACATCACCACCCCCGTCTCCATTTCGAGGGGATTCCCGATCGTATCCGTCACCAATTTTTGGCATCAGGGCCCGAGCACGCCTTACCCTACTCTGTCGTGAGCTTATCTCATAGTCTTCGATGTCCAAACTTTCTTGACTCACAGAACTCGACGCCATCTTTTACAAAATAAATAACAAATCGCGCGAAATATCCATTAAATATTCGCCATTTCAAAGTCCTTGTCCACTTGAATTCAACAAACGTTAATCTGACACTCTTCTTTTAAAATTTAAAGAGTCTTTTGTCGATTATCACAACTACTCAAGTCGTAAATATAACCCAAATCATATTTTTGAATGTGTATTACAGCACCGACAAAATTCAATACACATTTGCCTCGTTCTGGCTCTTAATCGACAGTTACGTCATTTTTGCATTTTCACTTTCGTTTTGACTTGAACCAGTAAAATAATCAAAGTTCTGAGAGTACTGCAAATAATGTTGACAAGGACTAACGGTTCGAGGGAGGGGGCTAATCTACGCCCCTATGTTCAATGACTTTTTTTTTGCAAAAAAGTGGGGTGAAGGGGGTGGAGGCTAAGTTTGTCCAAATATTTACCTTGAACGATTAAAACTGTATTATAAGCATAATAACTTTAATATTTTCTACTGTCAGCACCACTTATTTATATATATATACTCGATTCTCATTATATCGCGGGTTTCATTGTATCGCGGTATATCGCAAAAATTCGGATACATGGCCTATACTAGTATTCTTTTTGTAGATGGACAATCTGTATGTTATCTGAATGTTTACTTTTTTTGATGATTAAGAAGTATGGAACATCTGTTTGAAAAAAAAAATATTCAAATAAAACGTAATTTTACAGATTTCCACTCCCGTTTTTATTATATTTAGGCCATTAAATTTATAACCAAGTAAAAATTATAATAAAGTTCATCCTTTAAAAGTCTTTAGTTTGTAAAATTGTTTATTTTTTCATGTAGAATTACACTCCAAATTCAAAAATAATTTAATAATAAAAAATGGGCCATAGTTAGAAATTTTATAAATATCATTTAATATAAGTTAAATTAAAAAAATGAAATTTCGATATAACATACATGTACATGTATAATTTTGGAACATTGTCTCAATGGACTTCTGAGCTTAAACAAGTTATATTGTTCGTTGTTTCCATATTTTATTTTTAAGATATGAAATAAATCCTGTATTCCTAGCATATAATGATAAAAAGTATATGTGATTAAAATTATTTTGGCTAAAAATTCCAAGATATTAAATTTCACAGATGTGAAAAATTGAAGAATTTCCTTCTAAATATCCTTCCACTACAAGAAATGACCGCCTTTATTATTTTTTTCCCCTGATATTATGATTTTGTGAATATTTTACATGTGATTGTCGTGTATGATTAGCATTCTTTTAACTGGTTAATTACTTAAAAATGAACATTGTTATAGACATTTTTGAAGGTATTTTGACGAAACTTTTCTCAATTTAAAACAGATGATACAAACAAAAATATGGATGCCTGGATTGGTATATACTAGTATATATTTGGACCTATACTATTTTGTTGCAAATAATAAACTTCTAAAATATTAAGAAATTGTAAACATTCTATGGTGTACAAAATCATACCTTTTTTGCAACAATCCTAATTAATCTGTACATATATTTTCCCCCTTAAATCCCATTATTGTGAAACATTGTGTGAATGAAATATGAGAAACCTTGCCCTGAAACTAATGTTCATTTTATTCAAAAACATGACCCGAGTTGTTATTTTTAAATTTTAAGATAAAAGTTTGTTGGAATCATCTGTCCTTAAGCTGACAACTGTAGACTTTATTCCAAGTAAACTATTAAGCAGAGCAAACAGACATCTAAAACAATAGGTGGGATCAGGTGCCATTGAGGATTAATCATCGCAGAACGGTTACTTTTGAGCTCCTTAATTGTCATGATAGGAAAAAAGGAAAAAAAAAATATCTAGATAATTTAATTTTAAACAATAATTTTGAATAATGAAGAGATCTTGATAATTATAAATGACAAATAAACAATTGCAAAAGACGTAATTAAAGTCCTTTAATTCTTAAAAAAAACTTTATTGGCTTTAGTCCATTGAAAACAGTAAGATACATGTCTGAAAACTTATTGACAGGAAGAAAAAAAAGAGTGGAATGAAAAAATGAAAGGCTGAAAAAAGAAGAGTTAAACGGAAGTAAAATATTAAGATATCACAATCCTACTCAACCTTGTTAACGTTTCATATCCGCCATGTCTTGATTATCATATTCTATGTGCTATAGTAAACTATATAAAAATAAATGATTATTAAATTGACAAGTGTTGTTAACTTCAAATGTTCATTCAGAATCATTTTATCAAATGCTTTTACCATAAAATTGTCTGACTTCATTAAGATGAAATAAACGAAAGTCGTATTTAAAGTCCTTTTTACATATCTTCTACCTTTACGAAATATATATGTTACTTCATTAAAAATTATACATAAATTAAACATTAAATGTTTATTTATGAGAAATATGGACAACTTTTTTTGCCTAAGTTTGAATTCATATTAAGGCGATTTATTAGAAAAATTCTACATGTAAAGAAAAAAAAACTAAAACTTGCAGTGGCATTCAACCTCAGGCTGACATTCAGATATCGATATATCATCAGTTTCGAATGGTTACTTCCATCTAATATCGCGGAACATTAACTGACAAGATTAGAAATATGCAGCTAATATCAATGGCATCTGTTTTCCACAAATTTTCCCGTTTACTCAATCGTGTCAGGAGCAAAGAGCAGGAGTGTGAGGTTGACGGGGGATGTTTACTCCTCCATGACATCTGATCATTCTTTATGAAGGTCCAAGTCTGCTCGGCTCCCGATTTATTTTCTAATAAGGGACTTTTAAGCTTTTTAAATTCTAATTTTCATATTGGATGACAATGTATTATGCAATGCCTCTTTTCACTCTTTTTTAAACTATATTGAAAAATGTATCATAATACTACAATACTTATATAGAAGATGCTTTAGAATCAGAATCAGAATCTAGTCTTTAAGTTATAATTAATTTTGAGTTTGCTTACTGTTTGTTATTTTCATATTTCATCTAAGTAATAGAGGGATTAAAGCTTTTATTAATCTCAGTCAAACTGTCATATATGTAAATATATCATTTAGAAGTTTTGTTGAGGAAAACAAAAATGATTTTTGTATATCTATGAAGGCAAAGTGATATCTTCATCTGAAAGACATCCAATTATTAGCACCCCAATGTTTGTAATGTCTAAATTTGAGATACACGCCCGATTCTCTCATTGACAGTACAAAATGTCAAAGGAAATCTTCTAACATGTGTAGATTTCAAAGATTTGAGAAAAAGACGTAACCTGTAAAAAAAAAAAAAATGATAAAAATGAAATTAAAAAAAAATTGCATAGGAGGGGTGATAAAAGAGTTCGTGAACTATTTCTATATCTACAAAACCACAATTCAGATTTAAAATATAAACAACAGTGAAACCAAATATATTGTTTCTTTTATGGAAGTTATTAAATTAGTTCGCGAACTTTTTGATCACTCCTCGATCATATATTAACTAAAAAGCGCGGAACGGACATATAAATAGGCGGGATCAATTCATCTTTAAGTTTCACTGCACGACACGTCCGGTATATTAAAAACAGTGCAAACTTAATCCAACATACCCATCTTGCGCAGATCTGAATCTTGATATAAAAAAACCCCTGATTTTCTCGTAAAGAGACGAAAATAATCCGATAACGGCTCTAAAGACTGGAATTCGGAAAGAGAAGGTATTTGTTGTAATTACCATTTTCATACATATCAGAGCAGTTTTTCTTTATTTTAATTTCAGACTGTATATACAGAACCTATCGTGTAAAGTTTAGGCCTCAAGAGATGGTTATTAAAATACACTAAACATATTTACAACAATTCAGGTATAATTAATATGATTTTAGCATAATGACTTTTGTAAATAATTGCAAAACTAGAATTTAAATGTTCAGGATTGTTCAAATACTGTTAAATATCAAATAAAATTCATAATGATATCATTTTAATTAAATTTAAAAATGCAATGCTTTGTTTTCTGATCATGAAACACAGAACTGATTTAAATTTAATAAGTATTTTAAAAATGTATCAAAATATATCAGCAATATTTAAATTCCATTCAGTGGAATACTAGTATCACAAACTATGCACGCATAAGACTTCTAGGCTATTGCTTTTGTCTCCAATTAATTAGGTCTGTGAAAAGAATTTTTAAAGCCCTAATCAAATATTTTTTTGCAACAGAAACTATTTGGATTGATCGATTGTATGTTGTTTAACGTCTCTCTCGAGATTTTTTTTACTCATATGGAGACGCCTTAAAATTATTTGGAGAAAGATTTTACTTTTCAATATATTAACATTTTATTTTCAAAATAAAGTCCGATTACAGAGGTTTAGATTCGTGAAAGACTAGGCACAGTATGGCGACAACAGAACAAACTGTGACTGTGCAGAGTGCGGGGGGCACTGAACAAAATGTAGTCGTTGTTCAACAACCAGCAGCAGTTCCCGACAACCAGCTGATGGTGACTGAAATAAAAGGGCATAGAGAATGGAGTACAGGCCTGTTTGACGTCTGCTCCGATGTGACAACAAGTAAGTACTAGTGTCATACAATCTTTAAACTACATTTAAGTTGATCGTAACATTCAAAAGCAATACTTGATATTAGGCTTATTAGGACTTAAAGTTTTAAATTGAAAAAATATAATTAAAAGGAAAAAAAATATCTTTCAAAGTAGAGAAAAGAATATCCTACATGATCATCAGATCCCAATTCTAGCACCAAAACCCTCCTATCCAGTAAAAAGGAATCTCAGTGTCTGATTAAAAACTTTTGTTAAATACAACGATGTGATCCACTAGGTATCTAGACACCCATAGCTTCATTAATCATCAGCATAGATTTTATTTCAAAAAACTACTGCATTTACAATATATGATCAATAGAGTCTAGCTGTAAACCAGAACGCCTTGCTCGAGGGGTATGGATTTTACAATTTAGGTAAAGGCGTATTATAATCATACCTTCTAGATCGAAAAAAAGAAGTGAAAAAAATGATAGAAATGTTCAAATGTTATAAAATGTCTTTCAACATTCTACATACGATGGTTGTCCAAAAAGTTCGTGGACAATGACGCTTTTGTTGAAATAAATGGTTCTATATAATTCTATTGTATACTTAGTATCTAAATATTTCTTATGAAAAACCAAGACAGAATGATTTAGATTTTATTGGTGGAACTTTGGAAATTTTTTGTCAAAATCGGGGTCCTTAAAGATCGCAGATGGTGCGCACGGACCTAGGTTAAAATGCCATGAACTCTGATAAAAAGTTTTCGGACTAAATGATTTTTTTCACAAACAAGTCAAAACTCAATCAAAATTATATGAAACCCAAATAAAGAGACTATATAATCATTTTCTGATATTTTAAGTATCACTTACAATATAGACAGTGAAAATACTAAATGAAAACACTAACAAACCTTGACAGAAAAAGCGACGTCAGTCGTCCGAACGGGACAGAGTTCAGTCAAAAAAAATGTTTTAATACGGTTGAAACGACGTAAGATAAAATATTTGTTTAAAAAACTTATAGTTGTTGAAATATACTTGGGTAATTGATTTGAAATTGGTTGTACACGATTTTTCAACGATGTGTACAAATTTAAAGACACTACAAGAATATAAAACACATGAAATTTACTAAAAATTGAGTTTTCTATACACGACCTTGTTATAAATCTAGCGCAGCGTCGGACTGGGTTGTATAGTATGTGTATACTAACTTTTTATATTCATGATGTCGCAAATTTTTGTACGTTATTTTGAAATTTAAAAATTAAATAACTTATAATCTATACTTAAATATTCTTGCTAGCACTTGGATGTGTTAGGCCATAAAAACATGAACTGCATGTCCATGAACATGTGTTAAAATTCAAAATCCAAATGTTTGACGTTATAATGAAATTAGCTTAACGTCAGATTGGTCTGTGCGCACTATCTTCAACCTTTAAGACCCAAATTTAAAAAAAAATTAAGTTCCATCAATAAAAATTAAATTATTCTGAGTTGTTTTTTCATAAGAAATATTTTGATATAAAATGAATTTATGTAGAACCATTTATTTTAACAAAAACGCCATTATCCACGAACTTTTTGGACAACCCTCGTATATTGGAATTCCCAAAGGAAACAACACTGTTATTAGTAGACCTATTTTTACAATTTATATTCATATGAAGCAGAATTTGTCCAAAATCTTTTACGTGAAAAGAAATAAAACACTTACTTTGGTCATCAACATATCGACGCCTTATTGTCAATTTAAAATGGTTATTTCCATTTTTATGTCGAAACGCTATATCCCAGTGAGCTTAAAATGAAAGATATTGCACATGTTGCAGAGTCTGACACATCTGTTTCATAGTTGGATATTTTACCTGAAAAAGACGTTAATGGTAATCTAACATCCAAACTTTATGATAAACGTGAAAACTTTAACATTTCGTCAACTTACCTTACTTATGCATACAGGATTTATATCATTCAGTTCGAGACGCAAGAGCATGCTCTACGCATGTGCATTTTCTAAGACAGAGGTAAATTGTTGACAGACAAGCTGATGAAACAAGAGTATCAGCAGTTTTGTTTTAAGTCATCCTTTCGTAAGTTCTATGGCCGATACAATGACCTTGTCAAAAATTACAATATATCATTAAGTTAAATGCTGATTGAGGTTTCTAGCTCATACTTGTTGTAAGGTCATTATTTTAGCACTGAATTCTGATTGGATTTTCCCTGGCAATGACAAGGTACACACGCCAGGTCTGGCCATTCGGCAGGGGATCCTTGCTCCAACATAACACCTGATCCCACCTCTGATACATTGGAGGTCCGTGATTTCCCTGCTCCAAATTTGTTTTCTTCAAAAGGCTTTTGAGATTGAATAAGGTTCTTTATCTCCATTTGTTTCACGAACCACTTGATTCAATTCAACAATTTTCTATATAGTATGTCCAATCACGCATGAAATACATGAAATATGGTGGAAACTTTAGTATTTTTTAAAATAAAATATGATACTAAATCAATTAATTTTATGATCAATCAACAAAAATATGTGCATACGAAGAAATAATCCAAAATACATAAAATAAACAAACTTTATTTTTACTGTAGTCAATAACTTAATAACTTACGACAAATTCTGTGAAAGTCAGTTGCACAGAAATATCACGTTAAAGGTATTGGATGGATCTTAAAATCGAAAATATTACCGATTTATATCAGTTAAAAACTAGGTTTAAAAAAACTCATTCGAAATGAAGGAATGATAAAGAAATGAACATGCTAATATTATATTCACCAAGAACAGATTTTTGCTGAAAAACAGATCTAAAAGAGACAAATTTTAATGCAAAATGTTTCCTGCATCAGAATGACTAATGTATGAATTTTAAACAGGCTTACTTGGATTCTTCTGCCTAAATTATCTGAAGTGTACATTGGCCAGCAGGACCGGTGAGGGGTGCTTGATGCCTTTCTGTGTTACAGGAGCAATGATCATCACAAGGAGTAGAATTAGAACCATGGGAGGAATCGAGGTATTTTATTTCGATTGAAAAAAAATATTTAATTCTATTTAAAGTTTTTTTTTTAATTATATGAAAATAATTTCCTGACATGAATTTCTTTCCGTCTTTTTTTTATATTAAAAGGCTGTTATACATTTATGCAGGGTTCCGCTTTCAAGGACTGTATAGTAACAAATTTCTGTGAACCATGTGCAGTGTGCCAAATGCATCGAGAACTATCCAACATGGGAATAAACTAGTTTTGAATAAAGAAGTTAATTTCTTTCGTACACTTTCAATATTTATCTACATACATCATGACTCTTATTTTTTCTTATCGGATTTTTTAAAAAAATGATATCAAAGTTATTCTCAAAATGTTTTTGATAATTTGAGAATAAAATTTGTACAATGCAAATGCATAAATCACGCTTTTAAATATACGAGTCATTTTTATGACCCCTTAATCGACGATTCGAGGGTATATAGATTTTTTCCTGTCCGTCAGCCCGTCTATCTCTCTGTTTGTCTGTTTGTCTCTTTGTCCTCAAACAAATTTTTAAAATTATTGTATCATTGTACGATGTAGTTTGGCTTGCAGGCACTATAACCATAACTTTTGAGTGGAAAGGGATATGGCTTTAATATTTCACAGATGCAGTCCTTGTGACAAGACATTGCCTAGAGTCAAAAAAATAGAATATGTAGTGTAATATTTTTAAAATTTAAAACAAAAAAAATGTCAAAATAATCTTTTATACCAGGCTTCTTCCGTTGAAAAGAAACTCAAAGTATAGGAAGAATAAAAAAGAAAGTGAGAAAATGAAGATTAACCGGCAGATAACTGTTAAATTTAATCTCAAGCAATATCTTTAATATCTCATGTCCGTCCGCTTTTGTTTCTGTAGAAGTTTCAAATAAAAAAAATCAAGATTAATATTTTTATTACAGTACTGACACTTTAAAAATATTGTCCTTCATATAATTTTTAAGTAGTTTTATATTGCATTGTCCATATACTTTATTTTAAGAATTTCAAAATAAAACGATTCAATAAAATCATATACAGTTTCATTATTATATAATTATTAGTTACGTTATGTTTTCATCGCATATTTGTGCATTTAGATTGCAAAATGAAATAAAGGAATTAAAAGTGCATTTTGAAATTTAAATCGATGGTGTCAGTGTTTTTTTTTCTTACAATAATTTAGATTCTACTTTGTTTCATTTTAAAAATGATCAGTTAAACATGAATACAAAGAATAGGATAGATGACGTAAACAAACATTGGTTGATCTTAAAAAACTACAACCACTACAAATCAACCTACTGGGCATAAAACACCAACCTCTAAGAATTCAAGATCTCAGATGTATAAGAGGAGAAAAAATCCTCTATCGACGGGAGGTGGACGGAATATTCCTTTGTCAAATTTAAATGTGAAAACAAAGGTCAAAGAAATGGTATGGAATATGACAGTCAAGATACGACCCAAGGGCGAATCAAAGGTGCAGACAAGATCAACATATTACGACCAGCTGGCTTTAAATAAGGTCACTGAAATCACTGTAAAATTAACTTATTTGTTAATGTCCTGCTTCTATTTAAAATTTGATCATGAGCAGAAAATGCTTTATAGTACTCAAAAAGTTAATATATTTTAACTTAAAAAGGTTAACTAGGATAATGTTTATATAAGTGAAATGAATTTAAGTTAAAACTGAAAAGTTAAGATTTTTACGCAATATCTACATGTAAGTAGTGTCCAGTGAAGTGATACACATATCGTATGAATTTTCTTCAGGTAATAGCAAAACGTGAGAATTGTGAAAATCATAAAAGTGTACAATTTCTTAATGTTTTAACTATTTACATATTTTTCAACAAAAATAAATGAAAAAGAAATTATTATACCAATCTATTTTCTGTTTGGAGTAAGAATTTGTAGTTATACGAACAGGAATGTACACTGTAAGATAACTACTTTGGACAAAATATGCTTTGGTTATTTGAGGATTGCCGTAAAGAAGCTGAAAAATCAATCAAGTTATGAGAGTTTTCCTATGAATTTTACCATGACCTTTATGTTTTTACGAAGTACGTTTGACTTTCATATAAACAAAGGAAACAAATAGACAAGACAACTTTTGTCAAAACCTTTTTTAGCCGTTAAAATTTTAATTTTGATTACAGTGTTAGCAAAAGATTAAGAAAAGGGGCAGTTCTGTGAAAAAGCATGGAAGAAATAAGGGGAATAATATATTCATTTAAAAGATACATATAGATGTTAAACAATATTGTACGTCAACTAGACAAATAATTGATTACTTAAGCGTTTGTAGAGAATGTTATAACAATATCGTAATAAATACAAAATTTGATGCAACGTTTTAATTATCATAATGAGTTTATATAACTTTATAAATATTTCATATATAAACTATAACATATTTCGATGTTTAAGTTGGCGAGAAATAATCATCAGATTAACTTATCGCTTCACTGTGCTACTCTAAACAGGAGTTTCCTGAAATTATTCGCGCATGTGCGGATCTGCTTTTTTCTATATAAAGATATAATCTTTGAATTATTGTATCGTTATACAATTTAGTTTGGCTTGCAGACACTTTAATTCATAAAGAGAAGGTAATTTCATACTTACTACTTTTACTATATATATTATACTATATATATATTCAAAAACGCAGATTAAGTGTTTTAAAACACACAAAATAATCATATCAAATGTATGAAGGTTTATAAAATATGACGAGACACAACTTAGTAAAAAAAATATTGAAAATTGTAGACTTTCTGAGAATTTCAATACAAATCTGTCAACAAATGGTATTTTGTCTAAAACATTAAGTAATCTCAGATTGCATGATCTCATAATTGTCATCAATGCACTTTGAAAAATACAAGACCACGCAGGAATCATTAAACCTAATTTTCGACACCGTAAAGTTTAAAAAAATAATTATTATTGTAATAATAACAGAAAGTTCTTTCCTATGTAAAAGTATAATTTTTAGTATTTTACATAATATTGTTTTCTTAAACTATACAAAAAAGAGTAATTTTTTTTGGTTTTTTTTTTGATACATCATCATAGTGGTAGATAATTCTATTTTTTCAAAATGAAATATGTTTTATATCTTCAGTACTTTCCAATTTGAATGTAGGTATATCTTGTTCTTGCTTGTTGAATTTGTTGAACAAGACCATCTCAATTTAATTTAAAGTTAATTCTGCTCTGGACTAGTACACTTTCACTTTCATCTTTTAATTCATCTTTTTATTTCATGATCGATTTTATCTGCTTCCTGTTTTACTTTTTTCTTCTTTCCACAATTTTTTTTCACTTTATCACGAACTAATTTTACCTGAATAAAACAAACAACTCTGAACGCAGAGGAATAAAAGATTCCGCCTATTCAAGACACTAATAATATTTTTTTGAAGAAAACTTTTTTAGTACAGAAAAAGGATCGCCAAAGAATCGATACATGATAGATGGCAACTAACGTGGTGATTGTTCAACAGCCTGCGGCCAGTAATCCACTGTTGGTCACGGGGATCAAAGGTCACAGAGAATGGTCCACGGGCCTCTGTGAGTGCGAGGACAAGGTCAAATGTAAGTGTGTCATGTACTGGTCATCACAGTTCTCAAGTGATGCTCATTAAGATTATTATTTGTGTCACGTGTCCTATTTTTCTCCAAAATTTTTGTTGATCTTTCAATGCGAATGTTTTTTTAAAATGTTTTTTCTCCTTCCTAATTGATCTAATCTTGATACCAATCAAAAAGTGTTTAAGAGTAAAAGATCCATGAAAGAAATGAAGATTACAGAATTTTATTTGAATAATGTTATAATGCAGTGCTTTGTGAAATTTTTAACAATACAAGGCACAAGTTTGTGTTACAGTTTACCAAAAATAAATTTAATGTAATTTATGATAATGTCTTCAGTTGTAAATGTTTTCTTAAATTAGAGTACTAGTATTTGCAAGAAAACAAATGTTACGTAAACTTTATTAATCACGAGTAAAACACTCTAAACTTTTGATTGTTTAATGTTGATACTCATGTAATATAATTTTTTTGTTCTAACAACAATAGCCTATAAGAAACCACCATATGCACTGCCAACAAAGCTTTGAAAACTGCCTGTCGACATTTTTTGACCTATATACTATTCAAAACGCTTTGTTTAAGAACAATTTATTTTATTAAATTTATGTCTATTTGAAAGATGTTGTAACCCTTCATTTGATGAAAACTGAATTCCCTTAACCCAAGGATACTCAGTGCCAGGTTCGGTTGATTTTTGCTTGGTGGCTTTGATGAAAAGGACATAATACGTTTACGATATATGACGAAAAATTGTGATTAGAAAAGCTTTCTTGATCCTTCAGGTCAATTAGGCTCATAATAATATGATTTGGCGAAAAAATTGTACTGTTATAACTAATTAATCTTCGAAGGAGGAAAAGGACTTGTTCACAGAGAGATTGAACGCAATATATTTACCAGAAGAGATATTTTTCTTATATTATCATTGGCTTTACATTAGGTAGGAGATTGTGCCTGGTATATTTGCCTCTAAATGACTAAACATCGGCTAGGACTTCTGCACCTGATATTAACATATAAACGATCATCCTTCAGAAGTACTTTCCTGTTTCTTTTCGACTTTTTTTTAATCGAAAGTAAAATATTGATCTTTCAAAATACAATGTACTTGAAATATAAATAATATAATACACAGCAACAGTATTCTTTTATATCCTTCTTTCGTAAAAACTATTGAATTAAATTTGCAATTTACAAAAGTGTATTGAGACATTTCAATTTCTGATATGTTAGTGAAAACTTTTTTGGCGGGTTTTGTACAAAGCGTAATTTTATTTCACATTAATTTACAAATAATGAATAAATTAATAAAAACAGTATACTGAAACAGGCATAATTGGGTGGTTGTGTCTATGTTGTACACAATGCAGTCTGTCGAAAAGAACAGGGGAGTGTCCCTTAATGGCTGCGTGCATACCGGGAGGAACCACCCTACTACGAACTAGAATTAGAACCATCGGAGGAATTAAGGTAAACCAACAAAATATTCCTCAGAAAAATCGAACTGATGTTAAATTAAAATTAGTATTGAAGTAGAGCTATATAAAAAGAGCAATTACTTACATGTATAATTGTTTTTTTCTTCATTAAAGGGGACCGTCTCAAACGACGATACAATAGTAAAGTGGTGCCTTCCTTGTGCAGTATTGCAAATGGAAAGAGAACTCGACACTATGGGAGTCCCGCTTTGATTTTACCATATCTTGCGAAATGATAAAGCAGGATGATACCCACATGCATATTTGAAATAAAAAAAACTATCTATAATGTTCTTATTCATTATCTCTGTAAATAAGATAAATGATTTTCAATATTTTTGAATTTTGTTCATTACATTTCTTAGTCAAAAGTTATTTTTCAGGATTTTAAAAATTCAGTACATTGTATTTACAAATAAAAGAATTTTACGGTTACTTAAACTACATTATGTATGTTGATTATGTACTTTTTTATATGCTGGAGTTATTATTCTTGCAATATACTCCAGCATAACTTGAATAGCATCATCTTATATGGTCAGTTAAGCGAATGCCGCAAAATACACGTAGAACCAATAGAATCGAATGGGGGAAACTGGGGTGCGTCTCCTAAGAGATAGCTTCGGTCGCAATTTTCTTTCAGGACGCCTGAGAATTAACCTACTCTACATTTTTATACGATTTGTTCAATTTGTCTTTATTAATTAATTCAAGAAGTTAAAGATATCAAAGATATGAAACATGATTACAAATTAAAGCATGATTGACTTTAAAGCTTCCGATCACAAAAAAGTTTGAGTTTTTCAAATTATTTCCCCGTAGATTCTCCACAATATTGGCCACATTAACAATTAACAAAAGAGAAAATATAATATACTAAAGTAAATACTTTGATTAATCATGAAACTTTACACTAAAACCCTTTATTAGATCTTGCAGCATAGTATTTCTTTCAATGGTTAAGAAATAATATGCTAACATATTTTCTTATCCTGAACCCACATGGATTAGTATGAAATCGTCAGTCAGCATTTAACGCAATGATGAATTGTATTTGCTGAAAGTCATTGTATTGACCATAGAACTTACGAAATGAGACTGTTGATATCCTCCCTTCATCGACTTGTTTATCAATAACTTCTCCGTGTTAGAAACTGTCCATACACTGCACGCAGAGCATGATCTTGCGTATCGAATCAACTGAGAAAATATAAAACCCCAAATACAAACTTTGTAGCTCACTCTCTGAATGAAATTTAATAAATTTTAGAAAAGAGGGAAAAGACGAAATAATGATTTCAGCATGTTGAATTTTCAGCCTGGGCCACTTCCACAAAATACCACTGTTTTTTGGAAGTGTCCAGGCTAAAAATAAGAACCTCAACATATAGATTTTGCGGATACAAATGCTATGGAAGTGTAAAAAAGTTTCTATTGTTGATTGTTCTTATTAATTCCATCTCGACTATCTACCTTAATCATTTACAAATGTAATATAATCTTAAACTTAAATTACAAATGCTTTTGAAGTATATTAGGATGTAACGTTGTTAATTAAAACTTTATATTTCCTTTAATGCTCAAAGATTTTTCTTCCAGAAGGGAAAAAAATTCTTAACGAAATATGGAGATACGATTTATAATCAAGCTCAAATGTCTTACCCACACGGACCTCTAAAACATCAGAGATGGTGTCGGGTGCCTTGAAGGAGTGAGCATCCCCTGCCGACAGGCCATACCCGCCGTGTGCTCCTTTGGATGATCGGGAAAAATAAAGTGTGTAAACAATGGTCTAAGAATAAACTTGTATGAAAACCGCCCGTCTCTTGCGGACAAAACGTTAGTACATTTTATACTTTTTTGTAACACTGTACATGTTACATTCTTATTGTAACAATTTATTAATCTTATTCAAAAGCATATCATTACTATTTGATAAAATGTTATTCCTTTTCAATAAATTGTGATTCCTATTTGAGAATGTGTGACTTTTTTTGACGTTTTCATTTCCATTCGAAATGTTGTTCATATTGGAAGGTATATAATATCTAATCTAACGTATATGATTCCTATGACTCCTATTCCAAAATATTTCATTCATATTCGATAACATGTTATTTATATTCGGAAATATGTGACTCCTGTTATATATTTCCACCCTCCCTAATGCAATGTGTAAACTAGTATTTTTCATTTAATTTTGTTTTAATTACAGCTCGTATTCATAATATCGTTTAGGCATCAGTTGTAATATTTGTTTATTATGAAAATTTATTCTAGATAGTCAATCATTTTATATTTTTTCTGTGTTATTATTTTTGATTTGTCATAATGTGTGTTGGGGCAATTTTTGGTCCCCCACCTTTGATTTTCAAGGACATAACGATGAATATATTATGTAATACTCTTTGTTCATGTTGGCATAATGATTTTACAAGGCAGAGATGTTGTCGACCCGGATGTAATAATATATGTTTTTTAATATACATCCGGGTTATTTTATTTTCAAATTTTTGTAGTTAGTGTTTTGTTCCAATTTACGTCATTTAATTAATAAATGACCATTTTCAATTCTAATTTGTGTTTGAGTGATTTATGAAAATCAAACAGAGCCAAAATAAATGAGAGCTAAGGGATTTGACAAAAATATATTTTTTGTCATTCTTATTCGATAATTAGGTTATTTTTATGCAATTAATTTGTTATTCCTATTCGAGAGCATGTTATTCCTATTCGAAAACATATGATTTCCATTAGATAATTCCATTAAATTTTTCCTAATAATTTTATCATTCTTATGCGTAGTTTTCTTTTTCTTACTGAAGAATTGCATTCTCGGAACTATAAAAAAAAATACGTAGTACCTGATTCAACTTTTGATATTTTGGAGGTCCGTATTTACTATGCTCCAATTTTGTATTGTTTAATGGACTTTTGAGCCTGAATACTGTTCCTTATCTCCATATATTTCATACATAGTCACGATATGAGGAAAGAATATAACATTATATATACAACATATACAGGCAAACGCGCACCCAACCCGTAAAGCAGGAAGCATACGTCTATGTTTATAAAAATCTTTTTTCTTTTTCTTAAGATTAATTAACAGTAACATATTTAACAGTGCTGTGATTTCATAATTTATATCCCGGATACGTGATTTTGATTTTTAATTGAAAACGCTGAAATTTATGGAAATTGTCAGTCAAAAGGGGTATATGAAAAAGATGGAGATCTCTAAAAATATTTTTAAACAAAACAAATCTATTGAAAGGCATTTATCACTTACCACTGGAAATTCCAAAGGTGATGTCAAGTAGCTAGGAGGGTGTAATATTAAAAGTGTAATGAAATATGAATAAGTTTCCCAATTTAAAGATACTCTGAGGAAATCTTTGATTAATTGAATTTTATTCCAACATAACACTTATTTTGAATTCTTTCATTGATATCTTTTAATGTTAAAAACAGTTAACGATGTATGGGTTTATTGTTTCCCTTTCCTTATGCATAACAAAGGGTAATTGCTTTTAACAGATAGCATCACGGTGAAAATTAGCATAATTTCCATTATCAAGGAAAATGAAGAAAAGTACCTAAAAACAATGATTTAACATTTCAATACGGAAATAAATAGGTTACAGAGGTCTGCGTTTGTGAAGGACTCACAATGTCCACTATGGTAGTTGTTCAACAACCATCAACCATTCCCGATACGAGGCTGATAGTGACTTCCATTGAAGGCCATAGGAAGTGGAGTACAGGCCTTTTTGATTGCTGCTCAGACATTAAATCGTGTAAGTGTTACATTTTGACCAGCCACAGCAAGGTGTATAAATCGTAATGTAACAGAAATAATAGTACTCGGTTAAATTTTCAATATGAAATATGATTTTCATCTCTTTACCTTTGTGAGATATTAAAACAATTGATATCCATAGATATATCTACTTAATTATATAGTAAAATTTTTAAAGAAAATCTTAAGAATGAAGGGATATGACCATTATTTTTTATCTCTTGTTCTAAATTTTATCAAATTTCATTTCAAATTTTAGCAAAATCAATAAAATATAAACACTTGACTTTTAACACCATATTTAACCATTTCCTTTAAAGAATTAAAAAATACTCTTTTTTATCAGGTCACCTGAGTAAACTCAGGTGACCTATTGCTGTCTGTTTTCGTCCGTCGTCGTGCGTTAAGATTTAAACATTTTCAGCTTCTTCCCTGAAACCGCTGAACCAATTTCAACCAATTTTGGATGTAGCATCTGTGGGTGAAGGGGAACAAAAATTGGGAATTTCATGGTCCCTGCCCCCAGGGGCCTCGGGCGTGGGGCCAAAACCACTAAAATTAGTGCAATCTATAAAAATCTTCTTCTTTACTCCTGGACATCAAGCAGGCAAACTGTTGGTATGATTGTAATCAGCATTGAGTGCTCTACCAAAATTGTGAAATTCATAGCCCCAGGGTCAGGGGTTCAGGTGTAAGGGCGGGGCTCTATTGATTATATAGTGAAAATGCATTATTTCTTTGAAAATCTTCTCCTCTGCTCCTGGGTATTAAATAAACTAAGTAAGAACGACGTTGTGATGAGATAGAGTGCATCTACCAAAATTGTGAATTTTGTGGCGCCAGGGTCAGGGGTTCTGGTGTTAGGGCGGGGCTCTATTGATTATATGGTGAAAATGCATTATTTCTTTGAAAATCTTCTCTACTCCTAGGTATTAAATAAACTAACTAAGTACATAGTTTTGAAGAAGAAGAGTGCCCCTACCTAAATTGTGAATTTTGTGAGCCCAAGGTTTATCTGGTGTTAGGGCGGGGCACTATTGATTATATAGTGAAAATGCATTCTTTCTTAGAAAATCTTCTTCTTTCCTGAGTGTTAAAATAAACTAATTAAGTACATAGTTATGAGCAAGAGTGCATCTAGCAAAATGGTGAATTTCATGGCCCCAGGGTCAGGGGTTCTGGTGTAAGGACGGGGCTTTATTGATTATATGGTGAAAATGCATTATTTCTTTAAAAATCTTCTTCTCACCTTCTAGGTATCAATTAAACTAACTATGTACATAGTTATGAAAAGCAAGAGTGCCTCTTCCAGAATTTTGAATGTTATGGCCTCAGGGCCAAGGGTTCTGGTGTTAGGGTGGGGCTCTATTGGTTATATGGTAAAAATGCATTAATTCTTTGAAAATCTTTTTCTCTGCCTCTATTGAATAAACTAACTAAGTACATAGTTATGATGAGCAAGAGTGCCTCTTCCAGGGCTTATGGTGTTAGGGCGCGGCTCTAATGATTATATAGTGAAAATACATTACATCTATGAAAATCTTCTCCTTACTCCTGGGTATAATAAGCAGATAAACTACCTATATAGTTATGAGGGCTTCTCCAGAATTGTGAATTTCAAGGCCCCTTGGGTCAGGGATACCTAAGAAGGCTGGGGTGGGGACTCTACTTATGTACTGAAAATAATTAATTGTTTGAAATCTGTTCCTTACGCAAGTGAGTTCAGGCTAAATATGGATATTTCTATGCAAATGAGCTAATAAAAATTCATAAGTTGTATATTTTATGTACAGAGAAAGTTCAAATAGATTTTCTTATACATACTTAGTACCCACAGTTTATTAATAGAAGTGTACATTATGACGTCATAGTATGACATCATTGTTCTCTCCCATTCAAGGTTATAAATTACATCAACAAAATCATATCGCATAGAAACCTCCATATGTAGCCTTAACTCACTTGCGTATTATTAATCAAACATTTTTGATAAGCAAGTGTGCCTTTTCAAAAATTGTGCAATGTGTATACCTAGGATCAGGGGTTCATGTGTGGTAGGGGCACTTCTGATTATTGCTGAATATTACTGATTAGTCGAAATGTATTTTTTGTTCCCCTACCCTGCTTATGGGTATTAAGTAAACAAACTAAACAAATGCTAAGTGTTTAGTTATTATTAGCAATGGTGACTATTTCAAAATTGTGAATGCCATATCATCTGGCTTAAAACATGAACAAACTTTAATCATTTGAAAGTTGTTGCATAATGCGCAGGTGACCTATAAGGCCCATGGGCCTCTTGTTATTCATACGAAGCAGATTTTACATCCGTACCCTAAATTAAATATAAGAATATAAAAACGCTTGCATTGCTTACCTTCATCCCGACATTTAGACACAACAACTGCAACTTTTTTTTGATTTACAATAGTAAATTCCATTCATGTCAACTCGATGTATATTCCAGTAAACGTGAAATAGTAAATATCACAGAGTCTGACTCATCTATTTTATACTTGACTTTAAAGCTGACCTAACAGCAAAACTTTATAATAAAATGAGTACTTTTACTTTTCCATCGTTTACTTCCCTTGCAAGAATTCATATTTAACACTTGCATACAGAGTTTATATTTACTAGTTGATTTGCAAGATACTGAAGAGTATGCTACGTCTATGAAAAATTTCCAAAACGAGGCAACAAGAATATCAACAGTCCTGTTTTAAAAGACCTTATTTTTTATACAATATATGTCACTTGTCAGAAAATTTAACCACTTAAAAGATAATAAAGAAATTACTGTTTAGCTTTTAAGGTAAGTCTCATTGGAAATGTGGGTTAATTTTTAAAACAGGCGAAGCCAATTATATATAAATCATCTCACGTTTCCAACTATCGTTGATGTGCCTGGCAAATCAAACGAACGAGACACTGATTTCTTATATTAACATTATATATAAAATGAAATTGAAACTAAAGATACGAAAATGGGTGATATATTTAAAAAAGACGAGACATCCAATGACAAAATCATTAATCCCCGCTCATTGACGTCACACATAAAGACAGCTGCATGAGATTTACATGCACGTAAAGCACTTGACCTTTCACTTGGCGATATTTAAACTCGTGTTTATTTCTCAAGAACTCAACTCATATAACGTGTAAAGAGTTTTGACAGAGAGAAAAAAGTTTTAAGTAGAAATGTAAATATTTGCTGAAACAATGATATCAACCTGTCTCGTTTTTTAATTCATCATTTGGAAAGCTATATGATCGATACAATGACTTTGTAAGCTAATACAATCTATCATTAAATCGAATGCGAACGAATGTTTATGATACTAATTGTAAGGTCATTATTTACCAACAAAAATATTTCTACTTGATCGATTATCACAAGAAGCCCATGGCGGGTATGACCAGTTGATAGAGGATGCTCAGTCTTCCAATGTAATAATGAATGATAAACAGGAGCTATGGCATTATTTTTGGATCAATTAAAATCAATATTTAAGATCAACCTGGCGGTCATCATGGTTTAATTTTTTGTTTCGGCATAAAAAAATCAAGGGTAAAAAGATTCTTTTAAAATTGGTTTTTATTTAATAACACATTCCTGTTTAACAAAAGAACAAACGATGATTTATTTATTGAAATCAAATACTTATAAAGAATTAACAATAATATTGATAATCAACTACCAATACATGTAATATGCATTTTTTTTAATAAGGCCTCATTGGAAACTTCTGCTTTCCGTGTGCCGTTTGCAACTTGGCCTCTAGAACTGGAGAGTGTTGCCTTATGCCTTTCTGTGTCTCGGGAGGAACCGTTCTAATGAGAAGTAGGATCAGAACTATTGGTGGCATCCAGGTAAAATAAAACTTACCAGGGAAAATTAAAACTCGTATGAAAATCAATGTATAAGTTAGTACATTAATTGTAAAGTACTCATATTTGAAAATATCAACTTTCTATACAGGGATCCGCCTGTAATGACTGTATGGTTCTGACTTGTTGTGGTCCGTGTGGAGTGTGTCAGATGCAGAGAGAACTTGATAACATGGGAGTTCCATAAAGACAGCTACTCCAAAGATTATTACCTTTATGTTCTCTTATGCTTCTATGCTTTTTCAAGCCTAACCTGAGTTAAATCATCTTTACTGGCTTTGTGATCCTCAACCTAAAAATTAATTTCAATAATAATTACTGTGTTTTTTTTTTCGTTTACTTTGGAATAAAATACGCATAATATAAATTACATTTGGTCATGAAATACACATGGCAATTTCGTGCAGATGATATGATTGAATAATCTAAATTAATAGATATCCAGACGCTCATTTCTTGTCTAAGGACACTGCTCATAGAAAACAGAAAAAAATAGTTTAGAAAACTTGTACATTTACCTTATTCTGTTTTAGAAAGTGCTGGAATCTGGTTATTTGCTTTTGCTTTATTCCATAATTCTAAGCGACCCTTGCTGGTATTATATAGAAAGATAGCCTATCTTAATTTTACACAGTTTCCAAACATGGGACAGTCGAAGATATTTGCCTAAAAGAAACAAGAATGAACGTGAGAGTGAAAGAGCGTGCGTACATTGTTGACATATATAAAAATAGTTGTTGTCTTACATATATTTTCTTATTTTAAGCTCGTCAGGTAAAGGCAGCTCATTAAGTGCCATCCATGTGGTATACCAAACAGGAACTCTATTAGCACAAATACAAAGGCAGAATTTTCATCAATTAAAATTATTTTTTCCTGCTCTTTTTAATGATTTTTAAATCTTTAATTTCCGTAAATTAATTACTTTTGGAATACAGTAAAATCACATATTTTCGAGGGGTCAAATTTTCCTCCTTTGAGGAAAATATAAAGGTTCATGGGGATTTGATTTCGTGGATTAAGAATTGTTCAGTAGTATGTGGAAAATTGCATTTCGTGGTGGACATAAATTCGCTTGAAAACAACGAAAATTTAAACAGTAAACAAGATATTTCCTTCCTACAGATCTAGAGTTTGATATAGTTGTAATAAAGTTTTTTAACAAATTTTCCACTCAATAAACCGAAACTTTGTAACATTACCAGTGATCAGTTTCATATAGAAGTATCATCAAAGTCCATATTTTTAGCAAAATTACATATAGGTCTCCCACATTCTGTAATATTTTCTGTTTTTTTTATAATAGTAATTTTATAATTCCTCATCCAGTGTATGAATTAGGAGGGGATTTACTTTCGGTTGTGTCATTGGTATAATTCTAAAGTAAATGTCTTCTCTGGTTGGGGAGGCTCACTCCAAAGCAAGACTTTAGGATAGGTTTCTAAAAGACACTCCTTCGCGGGTTTGAATCCCACGTAGACACGGTCCTTAGGATGAGACCGCATAAAACGAGGTCACGTGTCGCTGTAGGCGCTGGCACGAAAAAAGAATCCCCACTGCTCAATGGCCGTAAGTGCCAAGTATAGGACAAATTTTGAAGCTCTCCGCTGGCAAGTGGTTGCGTTTACACATGAGAGAAAAATTCTCGAGAAGGACGTTAAACAACATACAATCAATTGATCAATCTCTATATTGGGGTAGTTTTGCTCTACAACATCGCATTATGCAAGATGACACTGCTCCATACAATATTTAAAAGACTGAGAAATAAGATTTGATCAGTATAAAAGTTTTTTACATTCCTTTCATTACGTGATGTTCCTCCTAGAAAATCGTAAATTTTTTAATAAACCCCAAAGTTAACATGAATTCGAATTACCATCTCTATATCGGATTCCAGACTTCATAGATATCCTTACAAACAAACATAAGATACATGATGGGTTCCAGTAGATGGTCTACCAACTCTCTTTCTTTACTTCAAAATAAATTACAAGTATTAACAGTATGTGTAGTGAAAAAGAAAATTCAGGACTACTGTAAAATATATTCGATAAGTGGTGTCAATCAGATGTGGATACTTAAAAATTCTAAGGAACTTTTGGAAAAATTGAAATTGCAAATTTTACCGAAATGAACAACATAAAAATGGATTTTCATGTGTATATACAGCCATATTCCCAACAATAAATAAATGCCCAGGCGTTCTGATATTAGCGTGCTAGGGTGATCACAAAATCAAATATACATTTATATATTTTGATGACAAGCGCAAGCAATTAATTTTACTTGCACCAATACATTTATACTTGCATTTGCGCTTTAATATGCATGCGCCAATTTTTCTCGTTTTACGATATTTTATTTGAAAAGACATTTTTATGGCAATCATAATACAAATAATTTTGACTTTTTAATTGTAAACTACATGTCACGGTAGCCTAGTGGTAGAGCGTTCGCTTTGTGATCGGGAGGTAAGGGTTCGATTCTCGCTCGTCAAACCTAAGACGTAAAGAAAGGCAGTGACTATTCCTTTGCCAAACGCACGGCACTAGAAGTGAAAGTCACGGGTCTTTCTGATGTAACCTTAAAAACGTAGGTCCCGTGTCATGTAGGCATTGGCACGATAAAGAACCCTCACTACTCATTGGCCGAGTATAGATCTAAATTCGAAGCCCTTCAACGGCATACAGTGACGTCTCTTTATGAGAGAAAAATTCTCGAAGAGGACATTAAATAATATATATAATCAATCAATCAATTGTCAACTTCCCTTACTTATGCAGCAATATGCATGTACCTTCATCACCTGCATACGGAGTGTATATATTTCAGTTGATTCGATACGTAAGAGCATGCTCTACGTAAGAACAATTTCTAAAAAGAGGAAAGTTATTGGCAAGCAAGTAAATTAAACAAGAATATTATCAGTCTCGTTTAAAGTCATCATTTTGTAAGTTTAATGGTCGAAACAATGACCTTGTCAGCAAATACAATGGATTTTTTCCGTTATTTCCCGATCATGACAAGGAGCACACGGCGGGTGTGACCGGTCAGCAGGGGATGGTTACTCCTTCATGGCACCTCAACCCACCTCTGATGTCTCGGAGGTCCGTGTTTGCTCTGCTCCTAATTTGTATTGTTTTATGGGCTTTGATATTGAATACTGTTCGTTATCTCCATATCCTTCTCAGTTGATTTAATACGTAAGAACATGCTATATGTATGAACACTTTCTTGTCATCTGGACGACTGGAGATGCTCACTATCCCATGATGCCTGATCCCATCGCTGAAGATATGGAGGTTCGTGATTGCTCTCCAAATAAATGTTTTAAAGAAATTTGAGCCTTAATACTGTACTGTTATATCCATATATTTCATCCTAGAAACAATTGTCTTAACAGACTTAAACATTATGCTACGGTCATGCAGCTATAGAATTTCTTGACGTCGACAGCATTTGGAGTTTTCGTCTCCCTGATGATTCTATACGTAGGGTGAGTTCACCATGCATCGGACACATACCATGCTTCGGACAACTTTAGGCAATAAACTCTCTTTCAACTTAAGGACGTTCGATCCTGCTATTTTGAGCGTATTTCGCGCAGGTCCTTTATTCATAAAAATAAGCATCATTTTTAGGTTCTAACAATAAAACTGAATTCTACAATGCAAATTAAACTATATTCAATGAAAAAACCGCGATGAAATTCCATTCAAGTAGAATTAAAATAGGGACTATATTTTGTGGCGGAAGGTTTTTTAGACGAAAATGATCATTTTTTTTTACATTTGAACTATAACAGTACTGTTAATTTTTTTCCATGCTGGTTGCACACAAAGCTGTTTTTTGAGTGAAATATGTTATGCTGTTTCTTATGAATTCTATCAACAAAGTGTGACAAATAAAGTAAATATATTCTGAAAATCCGGGAAAAAATTGAGCCAATTTTAACGTAAAATTCCCACTTTTTTAGTAATATCTGAAAATGTACATCATATACCCCCACTTTTGATGTTATTTTCTAAATATTCAAGATAACTTTGACCTATTTGCTTAAAATCAGAAAAAGTTTAAGACTTTGAAATAATATTCTTGCTTATTATATTTTCAATGCCGGAAAAATAACATTTTATTAGTGCAGAAAGGTCAAATAATTGATTATTCGAAGCAATTTGAAACCTTTTCTTAGTCACAATTTTTAAGTGTCTTTTTTAAACAGACACAGAGTTAATTTTGTTTCATGCTTTAATTGGATGAAGATATTGGAGGGAAAACGTCGAAGATGTAATTTTTAATTAAGACACAAATTTCAGTGCAGAAAGGTCATATAAAATGTACTGTAGCGCTAAAAGAAGCATATTGACCCCCATTTTTTTATTTGCATTTTAATCAAGTTATGTATGTAGAAACTAAAAATATACTTGGCAAAAAAAGTTTAAGACTTTAAATATCAGGATCGAACGTCGTTAAAAGTTCTGTGTATTTATTTGTTTCTGTCTTAAAGATGAAGATTTAATTTTTTTTATGATACCGACTGTTTTTATCATGTTGTGATAAAAATACCCCGAGAATGGCCTTGAAGTTACGTCATATTTTACATTATCAAAGGGGAATAACCCGAAATTTTATGATTTTACAATTTTTAGAGTTATCGTTCTTTTAAATTCGACTTCCACGGAACGAGTCGGACTTTGGTGAATTTTGTCAGGGATTGGTAATTTTACATAAATTATAAAGAAATTTCACTTCAATTTTTGGTTAATTCTAATTAGAGCTGGGTTTAATAGTATGCTAATTTCACCGTACATCGGACACAAATTAACCATGCATCGGACGCATTCCGATGCAAAGGTAATCACTACTGTTTTTATACAGAGCCCAACTGACAGGTGTTTTTTGCGGAAATGGAAAATAAAACTCCTAATTTTCAGTCAAAATACAAGTTATAGATATATGACGTCTAGAATCTTACTCAATTTATTTCTACAAACCAGAGTATGGTAACCCATGAGAAAAACGCGCGAATTACTGCATTACAAGCATTTCAATGCATTTCTAAGGCAAAGTGTGGCATCTTGAATCGTTCTACATATGTGCAACGATATCGTCAATTAAGATTAAGTTGAAGGTCATTTCTTAGATAAAAGATAAAAGTATATCCATATCAAGGATTTTAAGGTACTGTCATAAAGGTATGATACGTTTTCGGTCTAAATACCGTCTGTCCGATGCATGGTAAACAATGTCCGATCCATGGAGAATTCTTTGTTATTCTTAAAAATTCGATTTTTGATGATTTTATCAATAAAGGACATATAATTGTGTCCCGAATTAATATTTTAATCACAAACTAAATGATAAGCTTAATTTTGATAATTTTCCATCGGTAGCGATATCACTAGAGCTTGTTGAAGTACAAGGGTGTCCGATGCATGGTGAATTCATCATAAGACTATATTCTCACGAACGTTTGCCAAAATAAAAAAAGCAACAGGTTATTGAGAAATATGTTGATGATACAAGGATATTTCTGAAGTCACAATATTGCAAGTTATATGGTTGACACAATAACGTAATTTGGCCATACATTTTGTTTGAAAGTATTCTTTAAGGTAGGATTTTTCTCTGGTTTCTGACTAGATATTCAAAGTATATATTTGCTTATATGTCTTATATATTGAGGTTTAAGGAATTTATAATTAAAAGACCATATTTTTCTTTCCTCATCACAATTGTACAACTTTAAATAGAAACGGTAAACTGCGTTTGAAAACTAGCAGGGACTATATTTTTGGCGGAATGGTGGCGTATGGAAATATCTTCTTTTCGGCCTCTCAGAATTATAATAGAACAATGAATTTAGTTATAATTTTTACACAATCGAAGGCTTGGAGAAATTTTCAAATGTATATAAGATTAATAGTGAGGGACTATACTTTCACAATATATAAAATAAATATAATTTTTCAAACAAACTAGAACTGTATTAGCTTTTAAACGCTTCCTATCAAAGTGCAGATTTGAGCCAAAAATCCATAAAAAGTATTTTTTCTCTCTTAGTAAAAGATCAAAACTTTTTGTTTTTGTATCATTTTGTACATTTATAAGACTACTTTATTATATTTGAAAACAAAAAAAAAGTTAAATATAGGAAGCATATGAAAATAAATAATATATCCTAAAAAATTAAGAAAAACAGAGAAAATTCGAATTAGCCAATATCCACTTAAGTTAAATTATTTATGTAAATTTGGTAGTATCATGCTATAGACCCAATATAGTAATATGTTTTTATGCCAAAAAAAAAAAAAAAACCAATCATCTTTTGAAATAGAAGTAGGAACCCACATGATTGGCACCAGTTATTTTTTATTCTTAATGTCAAGGAAAAAGATAATGACTTTGACCTGACCTTGCCTCTAATATAAAACGGTCAAATTTAATTTCACTGATAATATCACTTACTGATATTGCCCTCTTGATTCTGTGAAAATTTCATTAATTTTTAAAATATTAGAAATATGAGAAGAATCCTACCTATTATGACTTTGAATTTTTTTTTTTACGATTTTTTCAGTTTACCGATCTTACTAATAATACATTGCGGATGTAATCGTTATAAATACTTATATCTCAATGACATCTTATCCTACATCTGTTTTTAAAGTCTATCCTGGGTTCTGTCATAATTTGATTTATTTAAAAGGACTTTTAAAAACGATTAATTTTATCAATTTCATGAAGAGAATCTTGCCCCCGCAATAGAACAATAGAAAAGAAAAACGACTCTTAAACAATAAGACATTTTGACAAAAAAATCAATTGTAAAAATATACTACATTATCTTTTTTTATTTTGTTAAAATATATAAAAGGAGTCATTCAGCACTCATTAATAATGACAAAGGTTATGTTTTGTTAATCGTGAAAGGTTACATAATAAACACTCACGTGAAATTTCATCTTAAAGCTCTTCAGATGCAACTCATTAGAAAGAAAGGAAACAGCCACTTTAAACATACAAAATACAGAGTCTATTGATATGTTTAAGTATTTACTGGCAGTCATTTGGAATGTAAGTACACATATGCGTATTTCTTATTTTTTTTAAGGCCTTTGAACATTGTATCAATATTATTATTAGTTTTAAGAACAATTGATATCAAATCAGCTTTAACTTTAATTAGATGAAAATTAAGAAACCCTTGGTCTGTTTAGAGAACATTATACACTTTTTCTTTATACCTTTAATCTATATAATAAAAATAATTCGTAAAACCATAACAGTTTAACACAATTTTGAGATATACCACTGTATTTTTAAATTAAGTATTCTGGCCATAATTGGGCATTTTCTGTAACTTATAACAAAAGACTACGTATTTTGTTGTTTTATTGTGAGTGAAATGAATTAATTAGAATTGCTAATTATTCACTCAATATAATTTCTTTAAGATGTTCACAATTGTCTCAAATGCAGATACAAGATCAATAATATGGCTGGAAAATAATGAAACAAATGGTGATAACGAACAATATTCAAGATCAGAAGTCCATAAAATAAAACAAAATAGGAGTAAAGCAAACATGGACCTCCAAAACATCAGAGGTGTATCAGGTGCCTTGGAGGAAAAACATTTAAAAATAGAAAAAAAAAATGTCATGTGTCAACTGACGTGTGTCTTTTGTGAAATTTTTAAACGTTCAAAGAACTTTATTTGGTAGTAACCAATATTTGCCCCCAAAATCAAACTTTGACGGAGTAAAATTTAATTATGTTTTAAAACAGGGGGATTCATGCTGACTTCAAAGTACTGAATGTTTTCGTCAGCAATGACGTCATATGTTTGAAATGACGCCAGGAAAATGACGTAAATCTAAAATTTCCATGATTTCTATAGAAAAATGCAAAAATTGCGTCAATATTTTGAGTAAAAATCACCGAGCGCAGGTGTGTTCAGGCTCAATATTTTGATATAATGTGTAGAATAATAATATCAATTAAATATGCAAATATTGTTCCTGAACAAACATGCGCTCTATAAATTCTATAAATAAAATTGTTGACATTTTGTCCATTTTGTCTTTTTTCTGAAAAATAATGCAAAATCCGACGAGTTTGTGACGTCATAAATTTAAAAAAAATTGTCAACAACCTACTTTGAAACTATAATATGTTTTGTTAATTTATATTTTTCAAACAATTTGTACAATACAACACATTTTAAGAATTTTTCAAAATTTAATTTTTGTAGGGGCAAAGATATGCAATATACTGAATATAGTTCTTTTCATAATTTGCACGGTAATCTAAGAATTTGAAGAAAAAAATGTGAATCTTGTAAGTTTTCTTAATTTTATGACCTTGCATTGTATTTCCTTATATGATAGCAAAACCATCGCTGGTTTTGAAGTTATGACCGTTGGAATACACTAAAATAATGGCAACATTTGCATTGGACTGAGGAATGAATTAAAAGTTCCCCAAGGGGCCTCTAAAGCTTATACGAATTAAATGTTCATTTTTGCTCCTCTGTTACTTTTTTACTTTTCTTGGCCTTTTTAAACTTGTCACGAGGCACTTTCTTTCCTCATAGTTCAATTAATTGTAACCGAGAAACCTAGAGGTGATAATTAAGTACCCACAGGTAGGATGTGGTTAGAAATTACTCGTTATGCCATCATAAAACAACAATATAACAATAATTATATTTAGATAATTCATTATGAAGGAAAAATTTAGATTGTAATTTGAGCTCGAATACGGGCCGTTTTCTCCATATATTTAATAAAAAAAACATTGTTCTATATACAAACTCATAAGTGGCAATATAGAACTAAAGATTGTGCTTAGATTTCGGCAATGACAGAAATGACTGATACAACCCAGCCCTTTTTAAGCTGTGTCGGCGCATATAACGTTATGGCATCTTACAAAAACCTATTAACAGTTTAGTCTTTTCAAGTATGTGCACATCCTGTTATGCTGACCCACTCACACCTCATTTCAATTGCATGAAAATCTACCAGATCATCTTGATCCGACTTAAGTTGTGAATGAATAATTAAACTTAAGTTGCAGTCTTTTTACAAGACTGTTGTATTTGCCAAATGTAGTTTTGCAATCAAAATAGATGGAATGACAGCATGATTCAGAAATATTATAAAGTAGAAATTGAACTTTCTTGTACACTTATTCTTTGGGAAACAATACAGACTGTGCAAAATGTTTTACGCGTAAATTTTATATTTACATACCTTTAAAAAATCAGTATAATATACATGTAGTTAATATTCCATCCACTTGGGGATAACTTTAAAAAGCTGTTTACCCATGGAAAACCATTATTAACCATGTTAACCTCGTCTTCTTCTTGTTTGACAAATATTTTCATGTGGTTAAAATTCTCAATGTTAACCTCAACAGTTAGTTGTATTTATACATTATTGCCAAGATTTTTTTTTGGTTTCCTAACGTAGCATACCCAATCTTCCTGATTGAAAATCATAATAAAAATTGTGCTTCATAGGAATTTTGAAATGGAATAGTTGATTCTATTCTATAACGTCCAGTTCTGAACATGGATATCATTACTTTATAACATTCAATTATTCATTGAAACAGAGGTTCCTGATTTTCATAACTCATCGTCAAAGGCTCTAGAAAGATGTCGACCACTGTTGTAGTCCAGCAGCCGACAGCCGGTTCTGGCAATCCTCTGATGGTTACAGGGATCGAGGGCCATAGAGACTGGAGCACGGGGTTGTTTGACTGCTTTGACGATCTCAAGTCATGTAAGCTCTTTATCATTTCGATTTTACATCTTAGATTTCATTAGCAAAAGAGGAACTAATTACAGATCTTCAACGTTTGAAAATGCATACGGGTCTTTGTGATGTCATAGTTTGTATCTTTTAAAAAGGTCTAAATCAGAACTACATTTCTGAGATTGATTTATTAGGATAAATAGTTCAAAACAATCCTCGATAAACTTAAAACTTAAACAAAACTTTCACACTTGACATTCCTAAAAAAAGAGTCTGTGAAACATGTTGCTAAACATTTCTAAGTTTAAATAAATGTTGATGATGTTACATGAATATTGTTATTGATATTAAACTTTGAAATCCATGTTTGCAACCTTGAAGTATTATATGAATTGAATCAGGTTTGGCCTCTTATTTTAATGACTTCCTTTGGCACTGGTTTTCGAATAGCATCAGTTACAAATTATTGAGATAAAACTACGATATATTTTTCTGAAAAAGATTAAAAGTTATTTGAGATAAAAGTTTTAAATTTTTTTCTATGATCGATGTATGGAAGAAACTTGAACGGAAAACTTTATCATTCCGTGTAGTACATGTATATATGTGACAAATGTATAGGTATATTGAAACAATATGATCAATCTACACTTGTCATACTAAATAAAAAGAAAGTTATATGTTATTTTCAGGTCTCCTCGGTTTCTTCTGCCTCCCTTGTACAGTATGTTCAGTTGCCTCAAGGACTGGGGAGTGCTGCTGTATGCCTTACTGTGTTCAGGGAGGAACGGTTGTTCTAAGGAGCAGAATCAGAACCATAGGAGGCATCCAGGTAAATAAAAAAACCAAAATTATATTTTTTTTATTTCCTCTAAACAGACAATGTGGATGATTTTATTGTAAAGAAAATCCTTTGGACGTACTTTCTGTTATTAATCTTTTCTGTATCTTCTTAACAGGGCACGGCTTGTATGGATTGTGTGATTTTGTCGTTGTTAGGACCGTGCGCCGTGTGCCAGATGCAGCGGGAACTTGATAACATGGGAGTCCCAAAATGAAGAACAATTAATCGGATCACAATTCAGTGCATGATCATTATCGTTAAAGGACTATCTTATCAGTTACTTTGATTGTACTTACTGCAATACTGCTTCCTGTTTTAAACTTGTATATTAGTTATAAAAAAAAACGCTGTTGTTTTATATGCTCACAAAACAAATATTTAGTTCTAATTATAAAAAAATAAATATTAATAGTACAGAATATTATAAGAATTATATTTTGATGATGGAAAAGTGTATCGTTCACATGTCAAACTGAAAATAATGGTGAACAAGTCTGTTTGTTTTGATAGGCAATCAATTTTTTTTGTAAATTCATAAACAGAAACTCCTAAAAGTTAGAAAATCTTTTTATTCTGATTATAAAACAATGTATTTTTGCAAGTAAGTATGCCAAAACTATAAAATTAAACGTTGAGAGTTTGAAAAATGCTCTTACTGAAAGAATTAGAATAGAAAAATTTCTTTTGTTGAAAAATTGTAAATATGATGAATTTGAAAGACACTGGCAGGAAATAGTTTAAAAACTTTAAAAATTTTCTTACCGTTACTTATTCAATAAAGTGTGTGCCCTCTCATCTTTTCTCCCTCTCTCATTCTCGTTTTTTCCCTTTCTATTTCTCCCTCTCTCTCCACATAAACTTTCACACTAGTTTATATTACCTCTTTGTTTGTTTTTTGCTTTATTTCATACTTTCTTGTATACTTATTCATATATACGTCTGTTTTGTATTTGTGTAATTTGTGTGAAAGTTAAAATAAACTCTTTAAAAAAAGAACTACTCCAATAAACCCCTTTGGACGGACCTGCTTTTGTTAGAAAAAAAGTAGTTTGATTATGTTGAATACGCCATTTTGTAATAACATTCAGATTCTTTCAGATAAAAGTAAACAAGTCAAAGAAGCCAATTTGATAGCGAAATTATGTTTTGAAAATCAGGTTTTCAAGTCCTTAAAATCTACATTTAACACGTTCCTTATTTAAAGTGATACAGGTGCCCTCGACACTTAAAGCAATTGTTAGATCTAGGCGTTATTTATTTCTAACAAAGTTAATAACTTGAAAATAGAACGTTTTTTATAGATGCATAACAAAAGTAATTATATTTGAGTAGAGAATAAAAAGAATACTTGTAGTATAGTACCTATTGATAATTTGGACTTCACGCTGTAAAATATCTAGTCCTTGATTTTAATCTCTATTCAAATATAATTACGTTTGTCATATATATTGTTTTATAATCAGATTAAGTAGATTTTGATTGCCTATCAAAACAACAGACTTATTCACTTTTTGAAAGATCCATTCTTCAATCTCTACTGCATTAGTTAAGTTGATTATCATACCTCTAAGGATTCCTTACTTTATCAATATAAATCGATATCGCTGATACCATGCAAAAATTTGCATCATTTTGATGAATATAAGCTGTAACACAACTGCCCAAAAAAATTTTATTTCTTAAACTCATATATTTTGTAGATGTTATGTTTTAGCATAACAATATCTGTGGGTTCGAGAGTTGAAGTATTTTTTTGTTAGAGTAACTATTTATACTTATATCAGAATGTAATTAATGTTGACTTAAGAATTTTTATGACAAAAAGATAGATTTCAAGTATTTATGGCATTGAATGAGGGATATACGAAATTGGCATTATGTAACCTAATTAATTTCGTCAAAAGTCATCAATTCGCAAGTTCTTTTACTGATGCACTGACCTTGTCAGCAAATGCATTCAATAATTGGAAAAAAGCCGTTGGACTTTTTCATACTAATGCTTCGGAAATTTCTTATACACTAAGTTGTCGACAGAACATTATGTCAATCCGATTATGTCAAGAATTACACTACGGGTGTGACCGCTCGGAAGGGAATGCTTACATCTCCATGACATCTTATCCTACCTCCGATGTCTTAGAGATCGATATTTGCTCTGCTCCTCTGACTTCTATCACCTGAATGTACTCATGATGTAGAATAACGTTGGTTATCTCTAAAAAAAAAACTTGCTTTTAACGTTCAAGTGGGTTGGATTATGGCTTTCATATTTCACAGGTATATTCCTTGTGACAAAACCTTTCTTTTGGTTCCACCAAATTTGGCCTATTGACCTTGACCTCAGAGTTTTATCCCACTTTACAAAAATGCCAAATTCAATAGCTTTGGCCATAACTTTCAAACAACTGGTTTTATTGTCAATCCAATGACCTTGTCAGCAAATACAATTTATTATTGAGTCAAATGTTGACTGACTTTTTTCATACTAATTATTAGTCCATTGTCTATACACTGAATTGACAACGGATTTTTCCGTTATTTCCCGATCGTGAGAAGGATCACACGGATGTGACCGGTCGGCAGGGAATACCCACTCCTTCATGGCACCTGATTCCACCTCTTATATTTGCTCTACTCCTATTTTGTTTTATGGACTTTTGATCTTGAATAGTGTTCGTTATCTCCTTTTGTTTCATTTCAATCAGATTTTGAGTTTTTTTTTTGTTTTTTTTTAACAAGTCCTTCTAACTGGTAAATTGGTTACATGTACAAAGGGAACAAATTCTGATCTCCCCCATTGTTTAAGACATTCGCCGAAACTTGTCCTTTGAATGTTTTCCTATTATTTACATTTTCATCATCATCTCAAACCACGGCCAAAATGAACGATTCTCTCCCATTCTGGCCATGGTTGAATTAAAAGAGATTGTTTTATACCTTAAAATATTGACCAATGCGAGTAAAGTATAGTCGGATAATGAACTCTGATGCGACCTTTCATTACCAAATCGCAGTGTACGAATACTGCTGATGTAAATTGTTGATTTCAATTGCGATGGTAACAAAACTTGTCATTGAAAGAATATACAAATATCGTCCAATAGACACCCGTAAATATTCAAGACTACGACACTTTTTGTGATTTAGCAACCACGGGTAGGAGAGAACTATGCGGACTCTGGACCGTGGCTTCAGACGATGCATTTGCATCTACATCTACAACTTTTATTTCAAACCCTTTTACATAATTTGCATTCGATGTCATAAAATAGGATTTATGATGAAATATAAAATGATAGATAAGAATAATTAATCAACAATGATCTTTCTGAATTCAAAAATTATATGCCGTTACCACCTCTATTCGATTACGTCCTGTCCTAACAGAAAAATAAGTGTCTTTCGTTTATTTGTACAATGGAATGTATAGAATTTGTATACAAATACATGATAGATAGAAGTTACACAGAGAAAGCATCAAAATATTAAAAACAGAACTGCCAGTTTCTCTTGTGAGATGCTGCCTTTATGGGACTCCCATATTGTCGAGTTCTCTCTCCATCTGACACACTGCACACGGGCCACAATGAGACAGAACTATACAGTCATTGCAGGCGGATCCCTACAAGCAATATTTGAAAGTAACTTGAAAATAAAAAGATATGTGAAACAAATTAATCAAACAACTAATCAGAGGATTTTTTTTTCAAAAATTTATTTAATGTAAGGAACCATTATTATGAGTGTTTGACATTATAGACCTGAATGCCGCCGATGGTTCTGATTCTGCTCCTCAGAATGACAGATCCTCCCAAGATACAGTGAGGCATACAGCAGCACTCCCCCGTCCTGGAGGCCACGTGACACAGAACACAGGGTGTACAGCAAAGTCCCAGTAGGCCTATAAAAATAGAGATGATAGATTATAATACTATTTAGCAGGTTTATTGTGGTGACATGGGTGGGGAATGTTAATTACCTCCACGTGTGGTTCAATTATTTCTGAATCATGGTTATCTTTATAGCTCTTTATTATGTTCCATTGACTATATGTACCGTCTTTGAGTAAATAAAATACATTAAACTTTTCTTCCATGATACTTAGAATGTCACCATTAACATGTACGTCTGTATCCTTTCTGCATCTGTCTGGAATAAAACATGCTTACAAAAACAGTGTTTGTGATATTTAGATTCAAAGTGCAAACATTGATAAATTTTACGCTTCAAAAAGTTTGCCAGGGTTATTGGTTATTGGTTATTGCTGGTGAAGAAATGATAAACATTTACCTTGTCTGATATGACCAAAAAAAAAAAAATAATAAAATCAACCTGCACCCTCAAAAAGTTTTGTATGTTTGCTATTTTGTTAAGAATTGAGTTGGTTTCTCATTTCATTTCCTATACTGTATATTATTTTAACAGGCCCGTGTCTTCTCTGCTCCTCCAATTTTGTATTATATTCCAAGGAGCTTTTGACATTTTGTTTTGATGTTATCGTCGTACAAGTATTTAACGTATGTATGCATATCAGGTAAACAAAGTTTACCTTTTATAATTACGTACGGGACTTTAAATGAATCTTAAACCAGTTTAAATGAACAGTGACGATAATGAACAGGATATATTCATATTTAAAAAAAAATAAAGGTACTTATTGTGATTAGGACAAACGTCATCTAAACTTGGAATTGGTATTAATGGAGTGATTCGCAACAACAATCCGACGAGAACACGTTCTGTAATTGACTGATTGATTGTTTTTTGTTTTACGTCCAGTTCGAGAATTTTTCACTCATGTAAAGACGTCACCATATATCTGCGAAGGGCTTCAAATTTTGGCCTTTACTCGGCACTCAGGCCCATTGAGCAGTGAGGGATCATTATCGTGCCCACGCCTGCCGTGACAAGGGATCTCGGTTTTTAAGTTCCCCTCCAAAAGATCCACAACTTTCAAATCAAGTGCCGAGCGCATGGCGAAGGAACAGTTGTTCCTCATTTTTATCGACTTAGGTCAGTCGCGGCCGAGATATGAACTCATAACCTCTCGATGACGGAGCGAGCGCTCTACCAAGTAAGCTGACATGAACGGTCAATTTGTAATGTAAATAATGGCCTAACAATTAAAATAAAAACGCCAGTCAGCATTCAACTAAATGATAAAGTGTATTTGTTGACAAGGGTCATTATATACACCATAGAACTTACAATATGCATGATGATTTTAACGAGACTGTTGGTATTCTTGTTTCATCAACTTGTTCGTCAATAATTTTCTTCGTTTTAGAAATTGGTCATACGGAGAACATGATTTTGCGTTTCGAATCGATTGAAAGATGTCATCTCCATATACAGGTGAGGAAGGTAAATTGATGCCTAAGTAAAGGAAGTTTATGATTGAAAAAAGTCATCAAGTTTTTCATAAAGCATGTTTGTTAGATGACCATTAATGTCCTTTCTGAGTAAAATATCCAAATATGAAACAGATGTATAAGACTGTGTAGTGCCTTTATTTCAAGCTCACTGAAATAGATCTTATCGAAAAAAGAATGGAAATAATTTTTGACAATTAACAATACTTTGTTGATATATCTTAAGGTCGAGTTGAAAGATACATCGAATGATCTTGTCTAATGACGTACGTAGGTACTATATAACATTTTGAACAAATTTTGTTTCATATGCACATAAATATAGTTTCGCTATTGAAGGGGTAATATTGGTATCCATGGGAATTCCAATTGATTGTTGGGACATTTTTTGCATCTCTGGGTTACATTATCAGTGGCCAATATTCCACATAGACAAAAAAGTTGTAGCCTAAACATCACTTTCTCTGGAATAAAACATTGGATTGAATAAAGGGGCGGAGAGTTGATAATAAATCGTACGTATTAATTTATTAAGTTGCAAATGCTATAAAGCATTCTTAGCAATTTGCACGTTCATACCTATATAATTATGTTTGCAGTTTTGTTTTATATTAATTTTTTGGGATAAAACTATTCCCTTCGCTGAAAAGGTTTTAAGTCAAAGTTATTCATATTAAGTCTCTTTCAGAAAATTTCATCAAAAGCAACAGGTGTCCATAATAATTGCAGGAAACGAAATTGATATCATGAATTATATTTCGTTAGTAGGAAATTCAACGTACTGATCGAATTTTTATTATTCGTCAAGAAAGTTTCAATATTTTCGAAGAAAAGTAGTATGAGTTGAGAGTTCTGTTTTGTTAAGTGGTCTTCACATCACGATATAAACTGTAAATGTGTCTATAATATTATTTTTAATAATCAAATTAAAATGATTTATTGTAGAAGTCCGAATTTGTAAAAAAAAAAAAAAAAGCTCCCTTTGACCCCTTCCCCAACCCGCAAAATACCTATCGGAAGGAAGCTTCTTTTTTTATCACCACTTTGCACCTCATGTTCAATCTGTGACTTCACACTAGCTTACACTTTAGCAGAGAGAGAAATATACGATACGTACAATGTTAAACTATTGCCAAAACAGAAACACTTACACATTTTAATGTCTGAGAAGCAGTCAAACAGGCCGGTACTCCATTGCCTATGACCGAGAATGTCCGTCACCATCAGCCGATTATCTTGAACACCCGTGGGTTGTTGAACAACTACTGTAGTTGACATCCTCGTGTTCTTTTTTTGACGAACTCAAACCTCTGAAACTGAAAAAGAATTTTTATATATAAAGTATTTAATGTATTCGGGTTTTCCTTTTGCTTCTTTGTAAATTAGATAAAACACGCATTTTTTTTAGAAATGAAATAATAATATTCATAAATCTCTTTGAAAAACATGTACAGTTTTAAAGAAAAAATATTCTATTTTGGAAAAAAAGATATAAAAATGCATCATTTTTTTTTAATTTGGGATAGAATGTAAAATATTTCTTTTATAAAAGAAACTATTGAACATTAAATTTTTATAAGCGTTTTTAAATAAAAAAGAACATTACCTTTCCTTGTTTAAAACGTTTACAAATGCACCCTATTCTCGGGGTGTTGGTACTTATGCAGGAAGAGATTTACTGTTTGTCGCCTAGAGACCATCAATTCTATCAGTTTCCTTTCACCAATTAGAATGTTTATAATAATTATTATTCCTAAGGTTAATCAGCAAGAAATGTTCATCAATACTATGGAATCCGGATAGGGCCAAAAAGTTCACTATCGCACCATCGAGCATCAACTTAAATGTCGATGGCGCGATAACGCGATGGCGCTATGACGATGAAACGGTGGTGCGATAACGATGAAGCTAGGATGCGATAGCGCGATGACGATGATGCTATGGCGCGATAATGCCATGAGGATTGTGCTATAACACGGTTGAGCGATAGTGAATATCGCTTCATCGTCATCGTACTATCGCACCATTGTCATTGCACCATTGTGTCATTACTATCGCACCATCGCGTCATCGCATTATCGCACCATCGTCATCACATTGTCGTGCCATAGCATCATCGTCATTGCGCTTTCGCACCATCACTTCATCGTTATCGCACCATCACTTCATTGTCATCGAATTATCTCTTCATCGCTCTATCGACCTTAACCTCGATGGTGCGATGATGCGATACTGAGCTGGCCCTATCCGGATTCCATACAATACTCCCTAAATATGCGATGAAAATATATATAAAACAATACTAAACAGGTCAAGTAAGGTATTCTAAAACAACTATTATCATGTGTTGATTGATGACTTGAATTTTTCGAACATACCAGTTTTTATGTAGATGATTTATGTCGCAGCCAATCTTGCTCTACTGCCAAACTTGATACTTGAAATCACTTATTTTAGCTTGAGAGGATAAAAAAATATAGCTTTCACTGATTTTACCTTACAAATGAAATAAAAACACAATTTGAATCTTACAAAGTTGACTTTTATCAAGAACAAAGCATTCGCATCAGTTAAACTCCTTTTCTCTGAATTACAGAAATGTGTTAATTTTACTTGGTCACTCTTACATTTATACAGTTGCATTCTCAAACAGAACGTAAAACATTCAATCAATCTAAACCTCTAACTGAGACAAGAATAAAGTTTTTAAAATCCTCAAGGTAAATTTCATTTACTCTTTTAATCTATTTTAACCACTATATCAGCCGATGTACATAGACGATTTTCTATCAATTTAATCTTATTAATGCAAAATTGCAGAATTAATTTTACTGAAGGAATCAGATTTGATGTTTGTTGTTTAAAAGATCTTAAGAAAAATGCATGATTCCTTTAAAAATGCAGTGCAAAGTGTTGAAAGAAAAAGAGGTTCCACCCGATAGGTATAAGGCGAGCTGAGATGGGGGTCAAAGGGAGCATTTTTTGCAAATTCAGACTTCTACAATTAATTCCTTTGATTGGATTAGTGAAAATAATATTATAGATATATTTACAGTTTATATCGTGATGTGAAGACCACTTAACAAAACATAACTCTTAACTCATCCTACAAATTTTCTTAGAAAATATGGAAACTTCCTTCCGAATAATCAAAATTCGATCAGTACGTTGAATTTCCTACTAACGAAATATAATTCATGATATCAATTTCGTTTCCTGCAACTATTATGGACACATGTTGCTTTCGATGAAATTTTCTGATAGAGACTTAATATTAATAACACTTGAACTTTGGCTTAAAACCTTTTCAGCATAGGGAATAGTTTTATCCCAAAAAATTAATATATAACAAAACTGCAAACATAATTGGATAGGTATGAACGTGCAAATTGCTAAGAATGCTTTTTAGCATTTGCAACTTAATGAATTGATACGTACGATTTATTATCAACTCTCCTCTCCTTAATTCAATCCAATTTTTTATTCCAGAGAAAGTGATGTTTAGGCTACAACATTTTTGTCTATGTGGAATATTGGCCACTGATAATGTTACCCAGAGATGCAAAAAATGTCCCAACAATCAATTAGAATTCCCATGAATACCAATTACACCCCTTTAATAGCGAAATTATATTTGTATGCATATGAAACAAAATTTGTTCAAAATGTTATACCCAGGTACTTCATTAGACAAGATCATTCGATGTATCCTTCAACTCGACATTTAGATATACGAAAAGGTATTGTCAATTGTCAATAGTTATTTCTATTCTTTTGTCGATAAGCTATATTCTAGTGAGCTTGAAATAAAGGCACCACAGAGTCTTATACATCTGCTTCATTTTTGGATATTTTACTTAGGACATTAATGGTTATCTAACAAACATGCTTTATGATAAACTTGATGACTTTTTTCAATCATAAACTTCCTTTACTTAGGCATCAATTTACCTTCCTCACCTGTATACGGAGATGACATCTTTCAATCGATTCGAAACGCAAAATCATGTTCTCCGTATGACCAATTTCTAAAACGAAGAAAATTATTGACAAACAAGTTGATGAAACAAGAATACCAACAGTCTCGTTTAATGCCATCATGCATATTGAAACTTCTATGGTCGACATAATGACCTTGTCAACAAATACAATTTATCATTTAGTTGAATGCTGACTGGCGTTTTTCATATTAATTGTTAGGCCATTATTTACATTACATTAATTGACCGTTCATGGTAGCTTAGTTGGTAGAACGCTTGCTCCGTCATCGGGAGGTTGTGAGTTCATATCTCGGCCGAGACTGACCTAAGTCGATAAAAATGAGGAACAACTGTTCCTTCGCAATGCACTCGGCACTTAATGTGAAAGTTGCGGATCTTTCGGATGGGAACTTAAAAACCGAGGTCCCTTTTTCACGACAGGCGTTGGCACGATAATGATCCCTCACTGCTCAATGGGCCTGAGTGCCGAGTAAAGGCCAAAATTTGAAGCCCTTCATAGGTATATGGTGACGTCTTTACATGGTTTTGTGGTTATGATTTTTGCAATACACCTGGCAGACAAGGATTTCCCAAAGGTTAAAATGTCCAAAGTTACCCTCTATAATTCGTAAAACTTACCGGGATGTAATATAGCAAGGATTGTTTGTTGGTTTTCCCATGGTAGCATACCCATTCCTCTTGATTGAAAATTATAATAAAACTTGTGTTTCTTATGAATTTTGAAATAGAACACATGCTATTATTCTACAACGCCTTGGTTTGAACAAGAATATCATTACTTTATAACATTCAATGATTCATTATAATAGAGATTCCTGATTTTCAAAACAGACTTATCGTCAAAGGCTCTAGAAAATGTCGACCACTGTTGTAGTCCAGCAGCCGACAGCCGGTTCTGGTTATCCTCTGATGGTTACAGGGATCGAGGGCCACAGAGACTGGAGCACAGGGTTGTTTGACTGCTTTGACGATCTCAAGTCATGTAAGCTTTTTATCATGCCTGTTTTACGTCTTAGGTTGCATTAGCAACGAAGAAACTAATAATACAGATCATAAATGAACGTTTTGAAAATACATCCTGGTCTTTATGACGTCATACATTGAATCTTAAAAGTATATATCATAAATTCATCTTTTAGATTTATTTATTTGGATAAACTGTGCAACACAATCTTAACAAAGATTTTTTAGAAGATATAATTACCCAACAAAAGTTTGATATTTTCTGTTAAAGAACAAGCGATTTAACTTTAAACTTAAACAAAAACTTCCACACTCTGACATTTCTAAATAAAAAGTCTGTGAAACAGGTTGGTAATCATTTCTAATTTTAAATAAATGTTGATGATGTTACATAAATTATATATTGTTATTGATATTTAACGTTGAACTTCGTGTTTGCAACCTGGAAGTATTATGTGAAATGAATGCAGGTTTGGCCTCTAATTTTAATGACTCGTTTTGGTAATGTTTTTCGAATTGGATCATTTGCGATTTATTGCGAAAAAAAAACAAAAATCTTTTTTTCTAAAAAAAGATTAACATTGATTTAAGAAATAAATTACATATTTTTTTTTCTTTCTTTGATCGATGTTTCAAAGAAACAAAAGGAAAACTTCATCGCTGTGCGTAATATACATGTGACAAATGCATTATGTCGACAAAATAGATTAAGAATGATTGGCAGTTTTTGTCATGGCTTTATTGATTAATAGTCAAATCAATCACCAATACAATCAATAGTCAAAATCAATCATCAATACAATCAATAGTCAAATCAATCATCAATACAATGAATACAATGATGTACACAAGTAAGTCGGATTAAAATTATCTTGAAACTGTATGATCAATCTACATTGTCATACTAAATAAAAAGAAAGATATATGTTATTTTCAGGTCTCCTCGGTTTCTTCTGCCTCCCTTGTACAGTATGTTCAGTTGCCTCAAGGACTGGGGAGTGCTGCTGTATGCCTTACTGTGTTCAGGGAGGAACGGTTGTTTTAAGGAGCAGGACCAGAACCATAGGAGGCATCCAGGTAAATAAAAAAGCCCAAAATTATATTTCTTTAATTTACTCTAAACAATAATGTTGTTGATTTCTTTGTTATGAAAATCTTTTGGTCATACTTTCTGTTATTAACGGTTTCTGTGTCTTTTTAACAGGGTACAGCCTGTATGGATTGTGTGATTTTGTCGTTGTTAGGACCGTGCGCCGTGTGTCAGATGCAGCGGGAACTTGATAACATGGGAGTTCCAAAATGAAGAACAATTGATTTGGATCACAATTTAGTGACCATTTTCTGTAAAGAACTATCTTGTCAGTTTCTTTTGTCTGTTCATGTATTTACTGCAATTCTACTGTATCTTTTTATAAACTTTTATATCAATTATGAATAAGCTCTGTTATTTTATATGCTCACAAAACAAATATTCAGTTTTGATTACAAATAAATGAATACTAATAGTACAGAATGTTTTAAGAAGTTCTTTCTTGATGATCGGAAAGTGTAACACTCAGTTGTCAAAATTGAAAATAATGGTGCAGAAAATGTAGAAGAGTTTGCATTTAAAGTATATCACTGAGGGAGTCAGCTAGATTCAAGTTCCCACGCCAAGAACAAGTCCACTTTCCGAGAAGCAGCTGTGTATCAGTTCTTCAAACTGACTCACCTTTTTACAGGGCATGTCTTTTTACGGTGATTTTCAGGGAATCAGCAAAGTATTTCGATTTATTTTTATAAAGTGAAAAATCCGTTGAGGTTTATTTGTTAACTTTATGAACAAGAATCACTCCATAAAACCTATGTTTAGACCCACTTTTATAGCAGAAAACGTTGGTTGAATATAACGAATGTGCCATTTTTTCAAATGTATTAATATTTGCAGCTCAAATAAATGCATTGAAACGCCATTTTAGTAATAATGTTTAGGTTATATCAGAAGATAGTAAACAAGTCAAAAAAGTTCGTTGTCAATTAATACCGAAATTATGTTTTAAAAATCAGGTTTTAACGCGTTAAAAATTCACCTTTATCACAAGACACTTTTAAATTTCTACGTTCCTTATTTAAAGTGATAATAGTGCCTCAACACTTAAATTTGTATTTGTCAAATCTAGGCGTTCTACATTTCTAACAAGGTTAATAACTCGATAATAGATTGCTTTAGGAGATGTATTATAAAAGTAATATATAATATAGAGAATCAAATGAAGCCGAACTAGATATTTTTCATCGTGATGTCTTAAATCATTAAGAAGTACTACATCAATTGATTTGATTATAACAAGCAGCTTAAAGAAATCATGCTTTTTTTTTACATTAAGAACTTTTAAACAACAAAAATCAATTTTGATTCCTTCAGTAAAATTAATTCTGCAAATTTTCATTCATTAGATTATATTGATAGAAAATCATCTACGTACATCGGCTGATATGGTTATAAAAATAAATTAAAAGAGGAAATAAAATTTAGCTTGAGAATTTATATTTTTTTTCTGGTCTTAATTAAAAGGTATAGATGGAATGATTGTTTTACGTCCTGTTTGAGAATACAACTGTGGAATTCAGAGTAAGGGCGTGAAGATCACAAAAAATATTTAACTGACGCAAATGCTTTGTTCTTGTATAAAGTGATTATCAACTTTGTAAGATTCAATTTGTGTCTTTATTTTTATCTGTAGGGTAATATCAGTGAGAGCTTTGACTTTTCATTTTGTATTCTCTTAATCTCAAAGAAAGAGATTTAAAGTGGCAAGTTTTGCAGTAGAGCAAGATGGTCTTCGACATTTATCACCTAAATAAACACTGTTTTTTTAAAGTATACAAGTCTTCAGTCAACACATAAAAATTAGTTGTTTTGAAATACCTTATTTTACCTGGTTTTCTAATATTAGCATGCATTTTGACCGTATATTTTATAACTTTTTCCGAACTATCAAGTTTAGACCTGTATAGTTTTTGCTTTGTTGTTTTTCGTCTACAAGAAAAAATGGTATGGAGGAAGGGAACTGATGACAAATTCCTTGTAGATTAACCTTAGGAATGATTATTATTATAAACATTCTAATTGGTGACAGGAAACTGATAGAATTGATGGTCTCCATGCGACAAACAAACAGTAAATCTCTTCCTGCATAAGTACAAACACCCCGAGAATAGGGTGCACTCGAAAACGTTTTAAACAGAGAAAGGTAATGTTTGTTCTGCATATCTTAGCTTAAGACGGCTATAGATATTTTATGTTTCAGTTCAATTTCATAATTTTTTTTATTAAAGAAAGATTTTTACAAAATATACCATTTTTCGCAAAAAATTCACTTTACATATTAATATCAAATATTATATTTTTCCCGAGAATTGAACAATTATTTTCTTAAAAATCGCACATGATTATAAAAGAGATCATTGAAATAGTAATATTTTATCTTTTAAAAAATTGTGTTTTTCATTTTAAAAGAAAAAAGGGAAACACAATGCACCAAATATATTACATTTTAATTTTTTTGTTTCAGAGTTTTGAGTTCGTCAAACAAAGGAAACCAAGATGTCAACTACAGTAGTTGTTCAACAACCAGCTGGCGTTCCAGATAATAGGCTGAAGGTGACGGACATTTACGGTCACAGACAATGGAGTACCGGCCTGTTTGACTGCTTCTCTGACATTAAAACGTGTAAGTGTTTCTTTTTATTTTGCAATAGTTTAAGAGTTGTGTAGTCGAGAGATGCAAAAAAATTCGAATTTCCATGGATACCAATCGCGCCCCTTTATTAGAAAAACTATATTATGAAGCAGAATTCGTTCAAAATCTTATACCGAGCACGTGTAGAGATCTTTCGATGTGTCCTTCGGCTCGACATTTAGATATATCAACGACGTATTGTCAATTGAAAATAGTTATTTCCATTCTTTGTCGATATGATATATCCCGGTGAGCTTGAAATAAAGGCACCACAGAATCCTATACATCTACTTCATATTTGGATATTTTACTTGAAAAAGACCTTCAAGGTTATTTAACAACCAAGCTTTATGATGAACGTAATGACTCTAACTTTTCAATCGTAAACTGCCTTTACTTAAACAGCAATTTACCTTCATCATTTGTATTCGGAGTTCATATCTCTCAGTCGATTAGGTACGCAAAATCATATTCGATGTATGAACAATTTCTAAAACGAGGTAAATTTTTGACAAACAAGTTGATGAATATCAACAGTCTCGTGTAAATTTATCATGCAGTTCGTAAGTTCGACAAAATGACCTTGTCAACAAATACAATTTATCACTTAGTCTAATGCTGACTGACTTTTTTTTTATATTAATTGTTATTCTATTATTCCATTATTTACATTACGAATTGTTGCCGGATTTATGCCGATGTTTTCCAATCACAACAAGGGGCACACTGCAGGTGTGACCAGTGGGCATGGGATGCTCACTACTCCATGGCACCTTATCCCACTTCTGATGTTTTGGAGTTTCGTGTTTGCGCTGCTCCAATTTTGTATCGTTTAATGGACTTTTAAGCTTATAAACTATTCGTTATTCATTATATTTGTTTGAAAGTGTCATAATATTTTCCTTTTACAAGATTATGTTTCTGTCAAGTAAATAATACAAGTATATTTTGCCATATACCTTTTCAAAGATCAAACGTGAAATGGTGCATGAAATGTATAAACTAAATGTGATGCACGAACAAGATATCAAATTGTGTGTAAAACAAACAAGTTCACGAAAGAAATAGGCAAATATGGGCATTTAATTTTTTTTCTTTTAATGCAGAATGTGGCTTGTCGATCGGGGATGCGCATTTCTCAATAACACCCGTTCCCAATTAAATTGAAGCATTTGTCCTGTTCACGATTTGTACTGTTATTTTTTCTTTTTAAAATAGATATATCCTGTTCAATTTCTTCACTGTTCATTTAAACTCCTTTAAAATATTTATAATTATGTATAATTACGTAATTATATAGAGGTAAACTTTGTTTACGTGATACATAGTTACATACATTAAATATGAAGATAACATCAAGTAAAAAAAAGCTCAAATTTTAAAGCTCTTTGGAATTTTCAATACAAAATTGAAGGAGAAGAGCACACAAGGGCCTTTTAAAATCATAGGAAATGGGATCAGAAGTCAACTCAAATCTAAACAAAAATGTCAAACATACAAACTTTTTGGGGGAAAGATTGATTTAGATTATTTTTCGCCATATCAGACAAAGTTAATGCTGATCGTTTCATTACCAGCAACCATAACCAATAGCCCAGACATAAACTTTTTGAAGCGTAAAATTTAATTAAGATTTGCACTTTGGATCTAAATATCACATACAAAAATGCTTCAAACTAAAATTAATGATGATATACCAGGTATCAGGAAAGAAAAGTATAATGTATTTTATTCATTCAAAGACGGCATATATAGACAAGGGAACATAATAAAAAAAAAAGTAAAGATGGCCATGATTCATAAATGATTGAAGCACACGTGGAGGTAACATTCCCCACCCATGTCACGTCAATAAACCTGCCAAATAGTGTTATAATCCATAAATTCTATTTTAATAGGCATACTTGGATACTTCTGTTTACCCTGCACTCTGTGTAACGTGGCCTCCAGGACTGGGGAGTGCTGTTGTATGCCTTATTGTGTTCAAGGAGGATCTGTCGTTCTGAGGAGTAGAATCAGAACCATCGGCGGCATTCAGGTTTATAATGTCAAGCACTCTTAAGAAATAGGGTATCATTTTAAAACATGATCGGGATATAAATACGGGTTGGTCACGAGATCAAATTCCAGCCCGAAGGGCTTTATGATGAACTAGATCTCGTACCAACCCGTATTTATAGCCCGATAGATGGTTCAAAATGATATCTTATGACATATATTTACATTTGTTACTCATTCATACTTTAAATTTGCCTGATTGTGACTTTAAACGTGTGAAATGTTTTATTTTTCAAATCCTTCGGCATGTATGTAATGCACTAAACGCGCGTCGACCCTTTATGACGTCACTGAGAAATTACGTCGAACGTTTTTGACGTTCGAGGAACCTGTATTTATACGGTTATAGATACGCATTGCTTTCAGTAGTGTTATATAAAGGGAAACATTTGCAAATGTAAATATATAATAATGAATATCTATATGTAGATCTAATGTGTGAAAAAAATCTTCTGGTAAGTTTTTTTTTTTTTTTTTTCGTTTTCATCTAATTTCACATTTATTTTCAAACAATTACTTGTAGGGATCCGCCTGTAATGACTGTATGGTTCTGACTTGTTGTGGCCCGTGTGGAGTGTGTCAGATGCAGAGAGAACTCGATAACATGGGAGTCCCATAAAGACGATATTTCAGAAGAGAATCTGGAAACTCTATTTTTAATTAAAGTGACGCTTTCTCCTTGTAGCCTCTATCTATTATATTAGTATACCCATTCTGTACATATATATTAAAATTTTCATTTTAAAATAAACAAAAAACCCCAATTTTTTTCTCTTAAGGCAATAATTCAACTTAAAAATGTGATAACTGCATAAGATCTTTTAAATCAAAAAGATCATTATATTGCATACTTATAGTTTTTATATTTGAAATTGTAAGCAAAGATGTCAAATGTCAGCAAAAAAATCCAAAGCAAAAAATGATTTTTTTTTAAAAGAAAGTTTTGTAAAGTACAGAAAAGAATGATAAACGTACATTTTTATTTTAACTGTTTTTTCCTACCAATTCTGGAACGAAACTGTAAATAAAAAATAACTTTAAGTATAAAGTGCTTTCTTTCATGCACATCATCTAATTGAAAGGATTTTAAACTTTAAAAAAATCACGCACGGTATCTTTGAGGCCCACTATAGCATATAAGATTTCTATATGATAAGCTTTTACTTGGAGGGGATAAAAAAAATGCAATGTGGATAGTGTTATGCATACATGTGCTTATTTCTAAATATACATCATAAGTGCTTGCTACGACTAGTTTTCGAGGTTGGGAAAACATTCATACCTGAGTTTTTAAATGAACTCGAAACCTTCTACAAGGATATAAAGCCACATTAAGGCCGCCCAAAGCTTTGAAGTTTATATAAAACATAGCACTAAATTGCAAACTAGGTTTTTATTTCACTTCGCACGTCATGTACACAAATACAGCCAATAACATTAGAACATTTCCTAAGCTACGTGTATATAGAAACAACACATGTTTGTGTGATATTTAAAAATATTTAATGACCACCTGCCTTGTTGACTCGAGGGCAATTATCAGATTTCCAAACACTGCGATATAATCAATCAGAAACTCTTTTTTATTATAGAGTATTTGTGTGTAAAGTATTGATTTTTTTTCTTCAAAAATTTAGTTGCAAGTGACAAGGTAATTAAATTTGGTAATAAAAACACCTGTCTTTGATGTAAATATGAATTTAATATATCTTGGCATAAATTTTTTGAAAATCAACGTGTTTTTTTAACCAAAGGATAAACCAAACAAGACCGTAACGCTAAAAATCATACCGTCACGAATTTCTCAAAAACAATTTCCCCTTACATTTAACAGTCTGACTCAATACCTATTTGTTAAAAACTTTTCTGTATCACTTGATTCTTTTTTGTTACCACTTGAAACTTGTTTTTATAGCATAGAAGCAGAATTTTTTCTCGATTTTTTAATACACTTACTTTTAACTCTTTACAAAAGACCAGGAACTATAAAGCATTCAAATAGTCCAATACGTTACTTACACTTTTAAAAAAATTTGATCTGATTTTGTTTACATTTATTGTCATCGTCTGATATACAGATACCACCTAAGCCATTTTAAAAGCAATTGGGGATTGGGGTCGTATCATTATGTACTGCAACACTGGTCCTCGGTTTATACGATCACATCCGAAGAACCGGTCTCCACGTCCCACAGTGCCCGGGATTCGAACCCGCGATGTAAGAATCAACTCCTTACTTTGCGACTCTAGAGCAGACGCTCTACTACTGCTCCACACCCCATTTTAATTTTTGTATTTTTAAACAAGCTTGAAATATAATTCTATAGACAATATATGTTGTTTTATATTAGAATTAAAGGTAGATAATGAGGTTTTGATTAAAATTAAATTAATCACTTTTTTATTTTAATTCCTCAAGATGTAGAAAAAAATATTGTGAATTTTTGTTTTCGATGTTAACCATTAAAGTTTATAATTTTCTGCGAAAAAAAAAAATATGCACACATTTGAATAAACTGTGCAGTGCATTTCCAAATATTGTGTATTTCTAAAAAAAAATTCATGAAAAAACAACATACATTTGAGATAAAATAAAAATGTAATCGAATAAGAAGAAGGTGTTGCCAGTGAAAGGATACATTACGACAGGTTTATTAAAACCGGTAAGCAGAAATAAAAAGCATTGCCAAAATTTCACTTTATATAATATACGTGCATGTATCGTTAATTTGGCTTAAAACCTTTTCAGCAAAGGGAACAGTTTTATCCCAAAAAATAATATAAAACAAATCTGTAAACATAATTGGATAGGAATGAACGTGCAAATTGCTAAGAATGCTTTTTAGCATTTGCAGCTAAATAAATTAATACGTACAATTTATTATCAACTCTCCGCTCCTTTATTCAATCCAAATTTTTTATTCCAGAGAAAGTGATGTTTAGGCTACAACCATTTTGTCTATATGGAATAGTGGCCACTGATTATGTAACCAAGAGATGCAAAAAATATCCCAACAATCAATTGGAATTCCCATGGATACCAATTTCACCCCTTTATTAGCGAAACTATATTTGTGTTCATATGAAACAGAAATTGTTCAAAATGTTATACTTATACCGAGGTACGTCATTAGAAAAGATCATTCGATATACGGGAATCCCTCAACTCGACCTTAAGGTATATCAACAAAAAATTGTCAATTGTCAAATGTTATTTCCATTCTTTTGTCGCTAAGATATATTCCAGTGAGCTTGAAATAAAGGCACTACAGAGTCTTATACATCTGTTTCATATTTGGATATTTTACTTGTAAAGGACATTAATGCTTATCTAACAAACATGCTTTATGAAAACTTTGATGACTTTTTTCAATCATAAACTTCCTTTACTTCAATTTACATCAATTTACTTTCCTCACCTCTATACGGAGATGACATCTTTCAATCGATTCGAAACGCAAAATCATGTTCTCCGTATGACCAATTTCTAAAACGAAGAAAATTATTGACAAACAAGTTGATGAAACAAGAAAACCAACAGCCTCGTTTAAAGTCATCATGCATATTGTAAGTTCTATAGTCAACATAATGACCTTGCCAACAAATACAGTTTATCATTTAGTTGAATGCTGACTGGCGTTTTTCATATTAATTGTTAGGCCATTATTTACATTACATTAATTGACCGTTCATGGTAGCTTAGTTGGTAGAACGCTTTCTCCGTCATCGGGAGGTTGTGAGTTCATATCTCTGCCGCGACTGACCTAAGTCGATAAAAAATGAGGAGCAACTGTTTCTTCACCATGCACTCGGCACTTAATGTGAAAGTTGTGGATCTTTCGGATGAGAACTTAAAAACCCAGGTCCCTTGTCACGGCAGGCGTTGGCACGATAATGATCCCTCACTGCTCAATGGGCCTGAGTGCCGTATAAAGGCAAACATTTGAAGCCTTTCATAGGTATATGGTGACGACTTTACATGAGTGAAAAATTCTCGAACAGGACGTAAAACAGAAGACAATCAATCAATCAATTACAGTAATCAATTTTTTTTTCAATTTCAACACGTTTTCCTACCCCCAGCATGTCAAAATTTGCCATTGTGCAGACGGCAACAAATCACAACTCATATATAATTCCATCTTATTATTGCCTTGACAATTTATTTTCACAAATATTCAATTTAATGTGTACTTTACTTTAAGATGGCATCATTTTTTTAAAAGAAAAGAATTTCCTTCAAAATATTTATTATTCTTAGATGATTAAAATTTTACTCTTAACTCTAATGTAAACTGGAAGTTATAGTAAAAAGTAGTTCCTGATCACTGTTGCCAAGGGGGGCGTGACTCTATACCTACATTCTTTATACTATATAAAACATGGTCTTGCGACTATCTAGTCCAATCAAATTACACTATTTAGACTAAATTAAATTAGTCTGAAAACAATTTATAATATGAGCCTAACAAAGGAGACAATATTGTTACCCGCTTTGTCAGCAGGGGCCAGACCATACTGATCGTGTAATCTATGTTTGTTTTTCTTTTTTAACTTTTTGATGTATCAGTGTCTGTGTGTGTTTTGTGAAGTTTTTTTACGTTCTAAGTTTCTTTTATCTAAGAATTAAAAAAATAAGGATTATGCATGTTTTTCTTAATTACATCTTGCATTGTATTTTTTAATATGAGAACAAAGCATTGCTGGTTTTTGGTTATGATCTTTGCAATACACCTGGCAGACAAGGATTTCCCAAAGGTTAAAATGTCCAAAGTTACCCTCTATAATTCGTAAAATTTATGTAATATAGCAAGGATTTTTTGTTGGTTTTTCCATGGTAGCATACCCGTTCCTCTTGATTGAAAATTATAATAAAACTTGTGTTTCTTATGAATTTTGATTAGAACACATACTATTATTCTACAAGGCCTTGTTTAGAACATGAATATCATTACTTTACAACATTCAATTATTCATTAAAATAGAGATTCCTGACAGCCGGTTCTGGTAATCCTCTGATGGTTATAGGGATCGAAGGTCACAGAGACTGGAGCACGGAGATGTTTGACTGCTTTGACGATCTCAAGTTATGTAAGCTCTTTATCATTTCGATTTTATGTCTTAGGTTTCTTTAATATAATAGAGGAACTAATTACAGATCTTAAATACATTCTGATTTTGTGACGTCATAGATTGTATCTTAGGTATAAATCAGAAATATATTTCTTAGATTGATTTATTTAATAAATTATGCAAAACAATCTTGAATATAAAACATTTATATCAAAGATACTTTGGAAGGTATAAATACCAAACAAAAGTTTAATGTTTTCTATTGAACAATAAGAAATTTAACATAAAACTTAAACAAAAACTTCCTCACTCTGACATTTCTAAAAAAAAAAAGAGTCTGTGAAACAAGTTTGCTAAACATTTCTAAGTTTAAATAAATTGTTGATAATGTTACATGAATATTGTTATTAATATTAAACTTTGAAATTCGTGTGTGCAATCTGGAAGTATTATGTGAATTGAATGCAGGTTTCGCCTCTTATTTAATGACTCGTTTTCGTTCTGGTTTTCAAATTGGATCAGTTGCGAATTATTGCGATAAAACAAAAATCTTTTTTTCTTAAAAAGATTAACATTGATTTAAAAAAAGAATTTCATATATGTTTCTTTCTTTGGTCGATGTTTCACAGAATCTTAGACAGA